ATTATTGGCTATAGGCATCTATTCTTGACTTGATTGGCTTGGATTGGCTATTATTGGCTACGATCATCTGTTCCTAACCTGGACGGCTTGAATTGGCTACAAATGGCTTAAAGTGACTGGTATTTATAATTAGCAGCTATTTCTTTGTCTACAAACTGAAATGGCTTCATGTGGCTAGTTTTGGCTTTTACCATCTAATTTTTACTGGAATGACTTCAAATGGCTATGAATGGCTATTCGTGAATCTCTTTCGAATGGCTATGCATGGCTATTCATGAATATCCATTGAATGGCTATGAATGGCTATTCATGAATATCCACAATTATACTTGCTATAGCCATTGCTACCCTATTAAAGCAAATCTGATTAAAAAGGAATGATAATAGACAACAACAGCTACTAAAAGCAAGTCCAGTTAGTAAACACTAAAATTGCTCATAACTATCAAGACTAGCCACTAATAGCCATTTGTAGCTATTTCAAGCCAATTCGATAAAGAATAAATGCTTATAGTCAATAATAGCCACGTGAAGCCAGTTTCGTCCATAAACAGTGAAATACCACAGAATTGTCAATTATACTTACTAATAGCCATTGCAAGCCATTTGAGGCAAATCTGGCCAGAAATAGATGCTAATAGCCAACAATAGCCAATAAAAGCCGTTCCAGTTAGTAAACATTAAACCTGCTTATAAATGTCAACACTAGTCACTACAAGCCATTTGTAGCAATTTTAAGCCAATCTAGATGCTTATAGCCAGTAATAGCCACTTGTAGCCAGTTTCATTCAAAAACACTGAAATAGCACATACTTGTCAATTATACTCACTAATAGCCATTGCAAGCCATCTGAGGCAAATCTGGCCAGAAATGGATGCTAGTAGCCAACAATAGCCACTAAAAGCCATTCCAGTTAGTAAACATAAAACCTGCTTATAAATATGAACACTAGTCACTACTAGCCATTTGTAGCAATTTTAGGCCAATCTAAATGCTTATAGCCAGTAATAGCCACTTGTAGCCAGTTTTATCCAAAACCACTGAAATAGCACATAATTGTCAATTATACTCACTAATAGCCATTGCAAGCCATTTGGGGCGAATCTGGCCAGAAATAGATGCTAATAGCCAACAATAGCCACTAAAAGCCATCCCAGTTAGTAAACATAAAACCTGCTGATAAATATCAACACTAGTCACTACTACCCATTTGTAGCAATTTTAAGCCAATTTAAATGCATACAGCCAGTAATAGCCAATTGTAGCCAATTTCATCCAAAAATACTGAAATAGCACATAATTGTCAATTATTCTCACTAATAGCCATTGCTAGCCAATTGAAGCCACTCTGGTCAGAAATAGATGATAGAAGCCAACAATAGCCACTTAAAGCCAGTCCAGTTGGTGAACACAAAAATCACTCATAACTATCAACAGTAGTCATTAATAGCCACTTGTAGCCAAATTAAGCCATTGCAATAAAACTAAATGTTTATAGCCAGTAATAGCCACTTGTGGCCATTTCCATCCATAAACACTGAAATAGCCCATTATTGTCAATTATACTTACAAATAGCCATTGCTAGCCATTTGAAGCCAATCTGGTCAGAAATATATCCTAATAGCCAACAATAGCCCCTTAAAGTCAATCCAGTTAGCAAACACTAAAACACCCATAAATATCAACATTAGTCACTAATAGCCATTTGTAGCCATTTCAATCAAATTTATCCAAAATTTGATGCATAAGCCAATAATAGCCGCTCGAAGCCATATTCATTTTTAAGTACTGAAATAGCACGTAATTGTTTAATAATCTCATCAATATCCATCAGGAGCCATTTCAATTCAATCTGGTCAAAAATAATTACAAATAGCCAACATTATCCACTTCAAGCCATTCCATTTCTTAAATAAAAAAAAAATAGCTGAAGCAATAGTTATCTACTAATAGCGGTTTGTAGCCATTTGCAGCCAATCTATTCGAAAATAGGTGCTTATAGCCAATAATAGCATAGCCACTTGAAGCCATTCTCATTCGTAAACACTCAGACAGCAGATAATTGCTATTATACTGACTAACAGCCATTAGTAGCCATTGAGCCAATCTGGTCAGAAATATATTCTAATCGCCAACAATAGCCACCTGAAGTCATTCCAGTTTATAAACAGAAATAGCTCAGTTTTCATTACTCATTAATATATGTAGCCAATATCTATCAAATATATATGAGTAGAGACTGATAGGCAATAATAGCCAGTTGAAACCATGTGCATTCACCAATGCCGAAATGGGTAATTGTCAATTATCTCATCAATAGCTATTGGCAGCCATTTAAGGTCAATCTGGTCAAAGAAGATGCTAATAGCCAACAAAAGCTACTTGAAGCCGTTCATAAGAGTAAGCACACAAGAAAATCACATAATTATCAATTCTAGTCACTTGGAGTCATTTCAAGTCGGTCTCATAAAAAAGTTATGCCTATTGCCAATTTTGGTCACTTGGAGCCAAGGGCATCTAATAAGACATGTTTCGGTAGGAATAAAACAAATAAATCAACAAGCTCAGAAAAGGTTAATAATTATTTAGATTGTACAAAATCGGGCTATACAAATCCGGACTGGTCTATACAACACACTGTATTTTGACATCAAAATACCAAGAGGTCCAATATCACGAGCTTATGCTGCCTATGCTCCGTCAAAAAATGGGAATATTTCATAGACTATCAATTTCTCTAATGAGTCAGCCCCACTTGATTCATTTCCGGGGAAAGTGGCGAGTTGTCCACTCCACACCGCCAGGATCGCTTTCTACTTCCGTCTCCCATTTTAGCCCGGAGTTTCCTGTATTATTCTCAACGGTATTTGGCAAAAGTATGGATGGAAATCCGGCTGGAAAGGATCACAAGTTGCTAAAGTTGAGGCTTGGGCGAGTTGGTACATACTTCGGAATTAAAAACAGCGCGGAAAGACGAGGACCAGACAAAGAAGTGACACGGACGTAGCGCTACGTCCGTGTCACTTCTTTGTCTGGTCTTCGTCTTTCCGCGCTGTTTTTAATTCCGAAATCACAAGTTGTCACATTCACTTAATAAGCCAGTCTGCCTGTGAACGTTGATTTCGTCACTATTCTTGCCCTGGACTAGCACCGTAATCACAAAGTCACTAAAGGCTTGTGCTTGATTGAGAGACACTGCATTCGGTTCAGAACAGAGTTTTCTTCCTGCTCTGGACAGTGACAATAAATTTGAGGGATGTATTTTCGCCCACAAAATTGTATTTAATTACAATTGTATTTAAAATACCCACGTTTTAGTATTTAAATACACACGTCAAATACATTACCCAACTTGTAATTAAATAAAAATGAAAAATACACAAAGTATTTCAAATACGTATTTCAAATACTTGTATTTGAAATACTGCCCATCCCTGTTCTCACCTGATCTGACGTGGAACAAGCACATAGATTACGTGACTAATAAAGCAAGCAAGGTACTAACTTTATTAAACGCAACTTCAAAACTGCGCCAGTGTCCCTGAAGAATGTGCTCTATACAACAAACGTGCGACCAATTCTGGAATATGCCTGTACAATATGGGATCCTCATTCTCAATATCTTATTTATAACGTGGAACGAAATCAAAACCGTGCAGCTCGTCTTGTAACAAGTAGCTATGATTTTCGTTCGAGCATCTCAAACGTAAATACTTAAAAAGATAACTTGGTCGGAGTCTTCTTTGCCAATGTACAAAATGTTTACGGTTAAAGCTCTTTCACACTATTCATAATGATGAAACCGGACGGATGTTTTCGCCCACTCTTTTATCCCCGTTGCTATCAATGAGGGGAATAGCCTGGACAGCGCTATTGTCAGTTCTCCACAAAACATGTTCTTCCGAGTTTTACAAGACTTTTGTTGGCAATAGGTGTCTGTTATTTCACGTCTGTTTTGTATCGTGTTTTTTGTTCATGTAACCCCCCTACAATAATGCCCCCTGGGCAATGCAGGTACCCGCATAAATAAATAAATAGAATAAATTAACACCAAAAGCACCCACCCTGCGTTCGTGTTCAAGGACGGGGTCAAACGTTGCCCGATTATTGTGCCAAGTGGACAAAAAAAAAAAAGAAAAAAAAAATAGCCGATTAAAGGCAGTTTTTTGTGAATTCGGGTTCTGCACGTGTAACAGTGCCACGAACAATGCAAAACTCGACGACGTGGTCGCAGGGGTAACCTCTCGCTGCAATAGTTGAGTGCGGCTCGTGGATTGGACACGACCACTGTACTTGAGCCCTCGGAAGAGGGCTCATGCCAAACTATGCCTCGGCGAGCGTTCGGGTACCGGCAACTTTGACGCCCTACGGATGGTGGGGCGGAGGCACCGAGACAGCGGAAGGGACGGGAATGTCTTCTCCGGGATTTCCCGCGCGCCTGCTCGCCCAAGCTGGTCAGTGTGCTATAATTAATCTATCTGGCCACAAATACGAAGCGGTCGGAGCAGGGGAAAATCACGGGTTACGGAGACATCGACGTGACGACCAAAACCGTGCGGTAAAACCACCAAGGCTGGTAGTCCCAGCCCCCGCCTGCGCCACCATCTCCGCTCTTCTGGTCCTTCGCTCGTCCGCGAGAGAGCGAGCGGCAGGCTGGAGTTGCTAATAGTGACTCGTCTCGGATCACTGCAACGACGAAGTAGCCCAACTCTAACGTCTGCAGCTCGGCACGCGATCTGTGCTTGGCCGACCCCAGCACGTGGCCACGACGGACATTTGTGGCATGGGATCGGCGCCAGATTAGGGGGTCGCTTCTTCTGGCTGCAACTTTACGGGGTGAACGCAGTTTGTTTTTTCGCGATCTTTTTTTCTGCGACTGCCACTGCCTATAGAGAACACTGATGCATGTTTGGTAGGTTGTGAACGTTGAGGGTCAATTCTGCTCAAACAATTTGTCATTGCCTTCGTCGACAATTTGAGAGAGCGCCGCAGACTTACAATGGGACTTTCATCCTCGATGTGTCCATTCGCTCGAGAGTCATGGCTTCGGCGTACAGGTGCATCTAGAAAGATTGCAGAGTTGCCACATTCCAAGCATCAGAAACGAGCCAGAACCTTTATACAAAAACATACCAAAAATAAAGATAAAAAGTTCACCATTTAAATAGATCATTAGGAACTAGTTTGTGCCCTGAATAGCATTTTACGAACCCCTCCAGGAGCCAACAGAGACTAACTTCTATGTTCAGTTCTGACATAGCTGGGTTGGGAAAAATTAGCAAACCACCTTATTTGCCGGCTGGAACGCGCTACAATTCAAGGGGTTTGTACCACTAGTTCGGTTCATTTACAGGCTATAGTTATTTTTCTTGCTTTTTATTCTTTGTCACCTAACCCAACCAGGTGTGTTTTCGATTTAAACCGATAAAAACTAATAAACGCGTGTTGCATTCATTTTTTAGGATTGGGTTTTAGTTGAAAAGGTTAATATTTTAAAGTGGGTACTCTGGCATTTTCTTCATAGTCCCTGATTTGCCTGAAAATTTGCTAAACTAACATCATTGAAATAATAACCCATATATTGGGCCAAAATAATTTTTTTTTTTTCACAAAGTTATTGAATTTTTTATTTTGGTCCCCGTGTTTTTCTGTGAAAGTCTCTACTGGCAACAATGAAAAAGTGACGTCGGGGAAAGGCACGGGTTCACTCTTCGGACTGTAGACTTTGTTCCCAACTGACTACTAGCAATTTAGTGGTGTCAAATGAATGCCATGGACGCTGGCTCCAGCACCCACGCAGCAGCACGGAACAGATGCTCGGCATAGCCCATTTTTAGACTGCCCGCTCGACCTGCAAGCCTGCCTTCCCCCGACGTCACGTCACTGAAAAGAGTGGGTATATTTGAATGTTGGTTTTGGCATAATTTGCCTCTCGCTGATTTCACAATAACTATTCTGAATTTTGAGATACAAAATAGCATTCCGGAAAGAGTAAATGTTGGTGATCCTGAAAATACAGTTAGTTGGGATACCTAAAAAATATTGCCGAAGTGACCATTTTCAACAAGCTCAAAACCTCACAATTATGACGGGCACTTTCGACCCCAAGAACGACATACCTCACTTCTGTTCCAGCAAATGCCATTTATCAACCACAAACACATTTTGTTAAAAGAAAAGGGGCTCGGACTGAGCTCACGTTAAAAATAACAACCTTGCCGGGTTCGGACCAAAATGCTCGTTGGTCGAGCCAGGTTCGGGTTGACGTTCACGAATCATAGTCTGGGTTGGGCCTTAAAATTCCAGCCTGATCTGATCTCTAGTTACGGGCACCACACCTTAACAGGGGGAGGACCGAGGCCAAGGAAAGCGGCGCCCTCACCGGTTCCCCGTAGTTCCTCCGGAGGTAGGGGAAGTCGTAGCTCTCTTCGGGGTCCCTCTCTGTGGCGCCGATGTCGGGCAGGTTGGGGTAGTCCCCCCGGGAGCTGTCGTGGTTGTCCGGGAATGGCTCGTAGTCCTCTGGGAGCAGGCCATACTTCTTGGCGGCGGCCGCCTTCTCCTCCGGGGTCTGCGGGTACGGGCCGGGCTTCCAGTCCTTGTTCCAGTCTGGAACCAGACAGAGGTCCATTCCCAGAAAATATTTTTACGGTGGCAGTCACCATTGGGTTTCACGGCGGATTCCCTGTGTGTTCCGTGTGGAGTCGCGACGCTCTGCCGAATTTAGTGCATTTGGTGGGGAAACGGAAGCTGGGGAGACTGACTGGTTCTTCTCCGCCTCGCAGCATTGCGTCACTGTGGTGTCCTTGTGATCTTGTGGCGATGCGTGCAGTGCTGCGAGTGTGGATTCCTCCCCTTTCTATTTTGGTGCTGCTGAGGTTCCGCGGAATCGGTCGATAAGAGGGAAAAAAAACCACCGGTGTCTCATCTGCGAAGTTTGACAGGAACTAGCATGTGTAATCGAGCATCGATAGGGTTATTCCATCCGCTAGTGGCACGAGCTTAGGCAAAGCAGTAACAATGTACCAGCGTGCTGTTTACGAACGAGCCAATATTTGCCCATACCAGGTGTCGGCACTGAGCGTGCGCGGACAACAGATTTATGCGATGTGAACCATCTGCGCATGTGCTGAGCCGACGGCAGCGTTACCACAGTAGCGTGACGTTGAAGAGTCGAGTTGGCAAATAGTCCGTGTCACCTTACGGCGAATCGCGGCAGACGCCACGAGCCGTCCCAGTCAATCCAGCACTGTGAACCTATCGCGTGACTATGTGCCTCGTGTGTCACTGCACTTTTTTTGATGGTCACGTGACACGCACAAGGCTTGAAATTGTCCTCAGCGACTTGTAGCGTCTTCTGCAGTCGCCAGTTTGATACTTTAGTCCCGTGTTTAAGGGGATAAAAAAACAAGGCCTGTCGAAATATCGGGCACTGGAGCAAATCAATCGTCTAGGCTAAGTCCTTGTATTGAACTCTTGTTGTCACGTTCCACCCATCGAAAGGCACTGTGAAAGAGCTCAAGTACGCACCTGACCTCGCTACACCACCATCTTTTTCGCACAACAAAGTCCGTCTACTGTGGTTACCGAATGTCAATAGACATACACGCGAATGCAGCGTCCGAAGCCAGCTTCAGCCACGCCATCTTCCAAATGCCAGCTGCTACCAATGCGGCCACACTAGTGTAGGCTCCATGCTAGGCTTTCAAACAGACTTTCCTGTGCACAATCACCCTTCGCTTCGCTCGCGGAATCCTTATTATAATCTCGGGCCCGAGCACGCACCAAACCTTGTCCATACTGCCAAGGGTTCGTAGGCGACCACTTTCCGCCCTCAGTGTTGACCTCCACAACGGCGCATCAGACTTTGGCTAGTATAGTGTTGGCAGATGACATTCCGAAGATGGCGTGTGGGGTTGCTGGCTTTAAACAACATATTTGTGCATACCTCCATAACAGAGATGCTTTGACGCCATAACGACGAGTCAAGGTGCATACTTGGGCTCTTTTGTCGTGTTCTACAATGTGAGGAACGTGAACTGAAAAAGAGTCTGACAAAGGACTTAACACAGACGTGCTTTCTTTCAGCACCTAATATTCTGACGAGCCTTACACAAAAAGTATGTTTTTAGCTCGCAATAGACCGGTCTCACCGGCCAGTTTGACTACGCCACCGCTGCCGCAATCAATCACAGGAACTTTAGTCTTTCTGCACGTGCGTGGATCCTGCTGGAGTTCTACGCGTGTAGAGCACGAGACGGCACAAGTTCTTGCATGCACAGCCATCTGCCCCCTGTGGACTAAAGTTATGCCGGCGTCACGCATGCGCCGAACGCCGAGTGAGATTAGTCCATTTGGACAAATTTTCTTGTACTGCAACACGGGGCTAAACTACTGATGAGCCCTACGGTCCTTCGTATGGCGAAACAGAGTGTAGTCGAAGCGCGAAAAGCAGGACACTACAAAATGCATCGGGTACTCGTGGCATCCTGCTTTTCCAAAGAAAATGAAATTTACATAGTTGATTTATTTTAATCGTCCTAATGTATTTTGTACTATTAATATTGCAACGCGCGTCTCAGAGCAAGCGCGCCTATGGCTGAACGGTTGTCGTGCTTGGCTTCCACACAAAGGGGCAACATTTGGTGCCTAACCGCAAATGCACCTTTTTGTTGTTTCTCCAAATGTTGTGTTCTGGTAAATCCAAAAACCCTGTTGCTTGTTCAAGGTCTGAACGTTCTACGTGCCAAACCTTCTACGCCGATGGTTCCAGAAGCCCACGCGCCGGAGTGAGTTTGGCCCCAGCGACCAATCCTGCTGTTACGCCGCTATCGACGCTAGCCTTCTTATATTTTGTTTTGGGCACCCGTTTGCCCCATTAAAAGTTTCCTTCAGTCATTCATCGCCTCATCAATTGGCATTTGTGACAATTGATGAGGAAATGTGAATTAATATTGGAGAATGCAGTGCATTTTGCATGTCATTAACAGACCTCTTCCCCGAATCGAAGCGCCCCTGGTGACACGGTGGCACGAAAGGAATTCTGGATACCGTCAGCCACTTAGTTTTGATCTCAGTTTCAGATTTTGTCATGATCATTATGTCGTGACGGAATACGCTGCTTGCGTTTTTATTGCTGCGACTTCCTATAGGTGTACTGTAGGCGTTGCCGAGAGATACCGAAAAAAAAACACCTTGGCACTGTTTTCGTGGTTTCCAATGTGCCGGATTTCGGGCAAAGGTAGGCAAATGTAGAATGATGCATTGCAATGTCCTTGCTGGTGCCCCGTCGCGCAAGAGCGCCCGCATGCGCATGAAGAAAAGTTATGCAGGCTTGGAAGTTCACGTGCTTGGCTGCAGGAGTACAGACAGCAGCTATCTAATCGAAACCGAAACCATGTCACTCTGCTCCGTATCCAACTGGTTCCCAGGGTGTGACGCGCACAATGTTGCAAGGAGGGATATTTTAAAGGGGCCAAGAAACAATTTTACAACTTTTTCCTGTTTAGCTTTCCTCAACTCATAAATCGCACATTCTACCAAACAGTTTAACAAGACGGAAAGGGGAGAGTCCCCTCTTGCTCGGACCCTCATTTGTGTACCCTGACACAGCCATTCTCCCCCTAGAAGATTAGCCCGTTGCTCAAAATTCAGACAAAAGTTGCTTTCCCCACCTCCTTCACCCCGAAGCTGAAAGTGCTGTGGAAGCTACATGCTTGCTGGGCCGGCCACACTTCTGCCACGTGATCGCGCTCTCTTGTGCATACCCACGCACAGAGAATAAGGTCAGGTGATAAAAGGAAGATGGCTGATTGGTCCGGCAAGCATGCAGCTTCCACCGCAATGTCAGCTTAGGGGTGAAGGGAATAAGTGAGGTCCGGTGCCATGTGACGCGCTTTGGGGACCGCGGATGTATCACAGTGAAAAGGCAGAGGGCTCTGGAAGGGAAGGAGGTACGAAATAGTCTGCTGTGTTTTCACATTTTCGTACCGAAAGTCAGGCTTTCGACTTTCTACTTTTTTTCTTTTGGCCCACTGAACGATGTACTATTAGGAAAATTCCAATCTAAACTGATTTATCCCAGCCCAAAATTCGTTTCATTGGCCCTTTCAAGTGGCGGCTTACTGGGCTAGGAAGGTTGTGAAACATGGTGTGACAAAAGTTTGAGGGAAAGAATAGCTAAAAAAAATTCAGCGTTTTTTTGTGTTTTTTTCTTTTTGTTTATTAATTACTTTTAGATTTGCTGTTTGATTCCTCTCGTCATTGCAACTTTAGAAATAACACTTGGAATGCGTGTCGGTGGGGTGAAATCCGGTTAGAAATCAAAGTGCGGTCTTTCGATACCCGGTAACATCTGCGGGATTGCAAAGAGCGTCCAAACTCAAAAGGAAAAGCAAAAATTGGAAGTAGAAGTCGCTGCTTGAAGGTCAAGAAGATTGAGATTTTTATTTTTACGTTCGCTACTCATCATACGTAACGATTAGAATTCGACCTTAGGGGATTCGAGGCAAGGCACCACTGAGGCAACTGCGTTATGACCGTACTGCGGCAAAAGCTGAATTAAATGCCGTGCATTTCAATTAAAAGCACACAATTAAAATAACAGAATAGAATACTCACAATGCGCAGTACGGGTGGCTGCAGCTAGTGGAAAATTAAATGTTCTGATCGCAATTTGCCCTGAACGACCCAACAGCGCCGCCATCTTGCTGGTGTCCCAAATGCACCGGTGGATGCACGAATAAGGTTACAAAATTTTGCAAAATCCACATTGAAGCACCCCCTGCACCCCCCTTGTACTGGATGAAAGGACGTTTATTTTCTGTAATTAAAACTGTCATTCATATGAACAGTTAAACGTAAAGTAGTTGGCCAAAATTAAAATTATTTTATATTTGGGGTTCGGCACAACCAACCATTTTTTTTTTTGTCAGTAGAAAAGCCAACGAGGTAGCGAAAAGCACCGCTGAGTGCTGGCCGTGCTGGCCCTGCTGGCTTCACAGCTTAGTTGAATATCTCTCCATGACAAAAAAAGAAAAAGAAACTGGAAGTACAAACCGAGACACCTAGTGGTTGAAAAGTAAACTTCAGGAGCCAACATGGCGGCATGTCGTCTGTGGTGTGCCGTGGAGAGGTAAATTTTTCGTTCCTTTCCTGTATTTCGAGCCGCCAATCGCGAGTATGTTAATTCACTCTGCGGCAGGACGAACCCAGTTGCAGTAATATGTAGTTAGTTGCTTTAATTAGTCCAGCCATGCGTCGGTAAACCCTATCTACCGAGCGCCTTTCTTTTGGAAATTGTTGTCTAGCCCGAGGTACGGACAAAAAAAAAAAAAAAAAGCACAGCAAAAGATGCCTAGTCATTGTCGGTTTCTTTTGTGAAAATAAGTAGGTGAGAGAAAGAGCCGGGCTACGTTTTTCTTTACCGCTTTTCGTGAAGCGCGTGCTTTCGTAGAGACCGCGTCTTCCTGCCCGTTGTCGTGTGTTGCGCAAGACGACAAAACGACCAGCTATCATGCGGCGTACCGGTAGGCCTACGTTCCTCGTCGGGTATTTTTTTTTCTGAACGGAACATTTTAACAGGATCCGAGCCCTCGCCGTCGGCGTGCACGATCCTAGTTCGATGATCAGGCTTGTCCGCGCGAAGAAAAGAACGGGCAAATTAAATGTCTTTAGCCTTTTTGCCGGTAAAACTCGCATCGACGAGCAGCCCAAACGTTGAAGCGCTCATCATTTGTTGCTTCCTTCTGACTCCGCACTTGATACATTGCGTGTTGGTTTAACCTAGGAACTATATGTGTAGGAGTTGTTAGGGTTTTAATTTGTAAGGTGTTTTGTCTTAAGCTTGCCGAGAAACGGACTTTACAAAATTGGTTCTGGCACTCTTGTTTTTTTTATTTATTTTTTCTTCCTTTACCGTCTCGTGTGTTGGGGTTCGTCGGCGTGTGTCGGGCGTTGCATATCTCATCGTCTACGCACGACGTGCTACTTCTAGGGTGTCGGTATTCGCTTTTAGCAGAATAGACGGTACTTTACAGCTCGCGCTGCATGTCACCCCTAAAGTGTCCACTTTTTTTTTCTTTTTTTTTTTTTTCTTTTTGTGTCGCGGAATGTCGGGTGTGTGTATTGGGACCTCTGGACGAAAGTGATGAGTAATGCTAGCGCTAGAAAACATCGCCACGGTTTGGTAGGTCAGTCAGCTCGACGCGTTGAATGGTTGCATTAGTATTTTATCAAGTGAACTTGTGTGCCTTTTGGGAAGCGAAGAATTCGTAGACGGACGATGTTGGCGATGGCGTATTTCGCTCACGTGGTTTGATCGAGATACGATGTTTTCGTTGGGATACGATGTGCTCTTTCTGGAGTTCACGCGTGCTGTTCAGTTATAGTTGTCTTAAATGTGCCGCGAACCGTTGAAACATGTTTTGTAGCTGTTCAATTTATTAAAAAAACAAAAACGTTCAGCTTTTGTAGGTTCGATGTTAAGCTGTGAGGGACGCATTTTAAAAGCTAGTACTTGTATGGGTTGTGTGGCAAGTTGATTAATAGTACCGCGTGCGAAACTTGGGACCTTTATTGCGATATTTGTTTCATAGCACAAAGTAGCTCTGGGGATGCCTCATCCTGTTCGCCCACAGCTGCTATCTGCCAGTTGCAAATGTGCAAAAGCTGCTCCCTGCAATGAAGCAATGAACCGCTTGATTTCAGCGGTTGTTTTTCTCGAAACTGACTTATTTTGCTTGTGTATAATCATTCAAAAGCTATGGAAACTTTAAAGAGTTCCCGACGTTTGTTGTATTCTGACCTTACCAGTCGCGAGTTTGCTCACATCTAGACAAAGCATCAATGTGCCAGAAAAGGATGGATCAGTTGGCATGTTTTAGTAGGACTCGAATACAGTGTCGTCTTTTTGTTTCCTGTATGTGTTTCCTTACAACATGTTGTAGGCATAGATGCATTTGTCATTAACTTAAAACTAGAGCTGTGCCTAGAAACAAGTGTCAAGTGGATTGCCTACATCTAACTGAGGCAACCGCTGTATGCCATAGTGTCTCGTTTTGAATGGGAGTTATGATCAGGAACAAAAAATATAGTGCAGTGGTTTATTCCCTGGTGGCAGAGTTTCAACTACTCTTCATTGTTTAGGTGACTAAAACAAATCTACAGTGTCCCCCGAAAAAAACAAGTTCCTGGTGTTTTTAAGATAACGGTTAGTTTTAAAACTTTGGCATCTGGTCTGGGCTACTGGCGCGACATTTGGACGGAAAGTAACTGTTTGGCGACACATAGTTTATTTTTGTGGCGAAATAAACTGCAAATCTTTTTTTTTTCCGGGATACGCTGTAGGTAAGAAAAGTCGAAGGCATGCCTTTGTTCGCTTAAACGTTGAGTTGATACATGAGAACATCTTCAAACTGACGTACTTGGCATTGCCTAAATTGCTTTTTTTTTTTTTTTCTGCTTGTCTTTGTGCAGCACATCTCACCACTAAAGTAACTCTAAAATTGCAAACTCCACCACCAAGAGGCACTCACATGACAAATCTGGTTTGATCTACATTCCAAAAAACGAAAAGAGAGACTGCGCCATCTACGAATTCGAAAGAAGCAACCGTCCATCAGAAGACGTCAATAAAAAAAAAGAAAAAGGATACCAAGTGCTCCAAACACAGGAAGTCCCCTCCCCAGAGAAACAGTGCAAGCAAAGTCGAATCAAGGGAATCGCAAAAGTGAACGCCGTCATCTTGTCCTCAGGAAGTTTCAAGCTATCTTAGCAAAATGGCAAGCTCAAAGTGGCAGGTGAGTTTCTTCGAAGGGTGGGGGGTAAAGAGAGACGGACTATGTATCATATTTTCCAATGCACAAGTCGTATTGTTTTCGCAAAATTTCCGACAGTGCCTTTTATACAACGGTGCAACTCGTGTGCATCGTTTACTTCACGTATGAACCGTAACTGCAACTTTGTTGCGAGGGTTATAGTTTTCTCGTTCAATTTGTTGACGAGAATGTTAAAACTAGCTCCCGCTTGTGCATACATCGAGATTCCAATACGCACATGTAGGTTTAGCAGTGCACTTTTTTGCCGCATGTACCCTAAAAATATATCTGTCTCGTACAAAGGTGCGACTTTTATACCAAATTTTTTTGTGAAAACGTCCATTTATGAAGTGGTGCATAAGTCACACTGACTTGTAGACAGGGAAGTACTGTCCTCTTTTTTAATCGAAGTAAGACAGAGGAATGCATTGTCCTCAATTCGGTGTCCTTGTTTCCACGTCCCCATTTCTGTGTCCTTGTTTTGGGTTGGTTCTGCCGCATTCCTTGTACTAGTGTGCCAGCTAGCCCAATTGAACATTTCTTTTTCCCATTAAGCTTCTCAGCTGAAATGCAGTTGGACTGGCTTCTGATAAACTGCTCTGTTGCGAAAGCTATTTATTAAGCGAGGGACATCTATGCGCAAAATGTGCCACGCCAAATTTGATTTCAGAAGTGTCGAAGACTGGGCCCCATTTGTACCGATTCATTATAAAACAGTGCACAAAGGATGGTGACACAAGACACATGACAGACGAGCACTCGTTTGTCACAAGTGTTCTTTTGTTTCCGTTCTTCCTGCACTCTGTTTCGTAACATGTTTGATTCGTTTTAACAGGCTCTCAGAGTGGGGATTACTCTTAAACTTGCTAAATGGTTGGGGCTGTTAAGCCGAAAAAAAGGAGTTGGTTTGAAAGCGCCAAATCTGGTCTGGCTGTGTTGGTGCTACGAGAGCCGAAAAGTTTTCTTTTTCCTTGCAGACAAGCTCTGCATCGGGAGAGGAGGAACCTGACCGTTCCTCTGCGTCCCAAGGTCAAAATGGAAAATCTAGCAACGCCTCACGGGAGGCCGGTATTGTCGAGAAACTGCTGGTGAGTGGCCATCTCTTGAGCCGCAGATATGCTCGTGCATCGTGCGAAACGCAGTGTTCGCTGTAGACACGATGACAGTCGTCTACAAACACGCCTAGTTTCGAACAAGTCTGCAGACGGTTCTTGCACGTCCAATATTTCAGGGCCGTCGTAGTACAAGGAAGGAGCACAGCTCGGGCAGAGTCTGCAGGCCGTCTTTTGCGTGACGTATTCACAGTTATGCTGCAGCTTAGGGGTGAGGTGGGGACCTGTCTTGTTGTGGTGGCCTGCACCTCTTCCATCTTTCTTCCTCTCCGAACAAGAAGGAAATAAACCCTAAGGAGTTTTCCTGGATCTGGCTGCACGAAGACGTACGATGCTACTCGCTCGCGGCTTTGTCTCGTCAGTTGCACTCCGTTTTTGAGCGGCTCGGTTCGACTCCAGAAGTTGCGCACTCAAGGAGCGAGGGTTTGTAGATTGCCGCTCGCTGCACTCCAAAACAAGCCGCTTAATTATTTTTTCTTATCAAGTTTCTAAAAAGCGCTAGGATAGGTTATGCAGTAGCAGTTGTTTCGAACGATAGTCGGGTGTTGGTTGTCGCGTGACAGCAGAGGGTGGAATGAGCGTCGACTGCGGTAGCTTCGAAGATTTTACCGGTTTTGAAATCCAGCGGCTGCTAAAGCATACAACTGTTCTATGCCCGTTTTTGTGCTGCTGTGGTAAAAAGAAATTTTGTAATTCCTTAAACATTACTGTCATTCTTTTTGGTAGTGATGGCTTTGCTGTGCTTAGGCTACGTGTATACAGTGTGGATGACGGTTAAATGTAATGCGCTAGAGGCGGCCAAAGACACCACTTGCATCGTGTGTTGGCCCTGTCTGGCAATGGCAGGGCATTATTTTTTACGGAAGCACAGTTTCAAGTTTCGCCGCCGGACGTCTCAGACTTGCTTTGACCACCACTCACCCGTTACATTTAGCAGTTTTGTGCGCTGCACATTTTTTTGTCGAACAACCATTTGTAATGTACTTGTCTTTATTGTGTATTGTAGTATGATACATTTTAGTATCTTATCGTTTAAAAAAAATGTGCACCGTCTTCATCAGCTTCCTTCTAAACGCAAGAGTTGATATTCCGCCCCTTCGTGATTGGCACCTTTGTATTTAACTATGGGCACTTTTGTATTGTTTTGTTACTGCACAAGCTTGTAGTAAAGATTGAATAGAAATTTGTGTATTTGTATAAACTGTGAGCAATTGTAATATATGTACTTTCAATTAACATATTCGAGGTGACTGTAGCTAGTTACGTAATATCCTGAGAAATGGCCCACCTATTGCTTGCATTGTTAGTTTGCTTCTTTTTTTTTTATGTGCATGAAAAAGTATTACTAAGGAATTTTTTGTATTTTTTTTCTTAAGAAAGTACTTTGCGACGCCGTTGAAGTCCTAATTATTTACTTTGTTAGGTGAGATTCAGGTGCATAACAATTAATGCTCAGGCCTTTGTAAATATGAAAGCCCGAGACCGAGAACACATAGAAAAGTGGACAGACATACGAATAGTCATCAGCTAACTTTTTTAAAATTTAATTACAATTATCCACTTGCATTACATCTGTTTTTTTTTTTTTTTTTTTGCTTTTTTTATTTTTCTAGCATTCATACGGATTCATTCGGTGCTGTGATCGGCAGGCAAGACTTTTTTTCCACTACAGCCAGTTTTCAGGCAACATCGAACATCTCAGACTAGGAGGTAAGTCACCCTCTACCGTCGTCTCCTTGTTTACTAGTTTTGGGTGAACTGTGGAGAAGTTGAGGCGAGGTGTGTGGCCTCCAACGACCGTCCCGCGTCCGTTGCAGACCCAGTGGAGTTTGAGATGACGTACGACCGCAAGTCGGGCAAGCCCATTGCAAGCTGCGTGGTGAAGATCTCGTCGGAAGCAATGTCCGGCGAGGTGATGAGCGAGGAGGTGGCGTCCGGCTTCATCACCACCGAGGCCAAGGACGGCACTGAGGTCTGCCCAATCGCCACCTCTCACTCGCTCTCTAAAGTGAAGCAAGTGTGAGGACGGTGCTGCCACTGTCTTCACACTTGCTAACACAATTTAAACGGATATAAACGCTTCCCGCTGCCAAGACCTCGCGAAGCCGTTCGTCAAGAGGTTTGCAAGTGACGTCTGTTGCTGTAGTGTTCGCTGTTTTGAGTTTGTCAGAGTTTTTAAGCTGTTCTAACTAGGGCGTGCATAGATCATGGTAGTGCATGATTGCACTGAACGCATTTTTTTTTTTTGTCACAGTGTCACATTGTGTCACACTGCACTGGAATCAACTTCTCAGTGTGGCTTACCCCCCCCCCCCCCCGACCTCATAATACTGTATCCTTCGTGTCGCCTTATTGTCGTGGAGATTATTTTCAAAGACACCAGGCCCCTGTCAAGCACCAGAAGTGTGGCAAAGACGTGAAGCTGTGCGCTTGTCTGCCTGGCTGTCCTTGTTTCGGACAGCTTCTTTGCGCATAAAAGCAAATGTACAAAGCTTATTTGATCAGTCCCATTGAAAAGGGGGACGGAGGGAGAGAATGGCTAATATACTATCGTGAGCAATGTGAAAGAGAACACAAGAGTGCATAGCGAATATCCTCGAACCACACTTGTGGCGACACATTGTTGTGACTTTTAGAAACAAGGTGGAGAGAATGGGGCATCCCCTTCCACTGCTGGCACCCCCCCCCCCCCACCCCCTCCCTCATCACCGACTGCCTTCTGAATATAGTGCGTTGCGCGGCACCTGACAATGACAAACATTGTGAGGCGCTTTTATCCGTTTATGCACACGCTTTTATTTTTCAAACTAGCGTATGGAGCAATATGACACATCAAAATGTAGTCACTTAGTTGTTTTTTTGAACAGTCTTGGGTAAGTTACTTTTAAAAAGTAATTCGTTACAGTTACTCTCAGAAAAAAGTAGCGAAGTTACCGTTACAGTTACCGCAACAAAAGTAACTCGTTACAGTTACTTTTCTATAACAAAAAAAAATAGGAAAAACTAGAAAACGTCCCTCTTGAAGTTTTATTGCATAAAATTAAAAAGTATGCTTTTTACTTCATATTCTATCTTAGTAGAAGTTGCTTCTCAAAATTAGTGTTTGAAAATTTCCACGCCAGAGTAGTGGTACAAATAAAATTACGAAACATGCGCAGTGAGAGTACTGGTGCTAATCAAAATACGAAACATGCGTAGTGCCCTTCTGCGTGTATTTTTGTTTCACGGTTGATTCGCCCGATTAAAAAGTGTTTTCACAGAAAAAAGAAAAACCACAACATAGATGGTGCTTCAAGACACTAAAATGTAAGTGTTCAGTCACAAAGTACAAGTGCGTGCGTAAAGATAACTAGATATTTTTTCATGAAATCTACACGTGGCTATATTTGGGTCGTAACTCGTGAGAAAGAACGTATTCACAAGTTTGTGCAAGGCCAACTTGACGCTCGAAATGTCCGAATAGACGATTTGAAAAGTGCAAGGAATATCTAAATTGTACTCGTTCAGTGAAATTATTCATAAGATACTGAAAAGTAACGTCGTTACTTTCATCGTTACCTCATAAAAAGTAATAGAACTACAGTTACAAGTTACATTTTAAAAAAGTAACTCGTTACAGTTACAAGTTACCAAAAAAGTAACGAAATTGCAGTAACGCATTACTACCCAAGACTGCTTTTAAAAGGAACAGAGGTTAGTATAATGTGGGCAAAAATATTTTCAAATTTAATTTCTTAAAAATGCAGTGTGTGCAGAAGGCGTGCATATAAGCGCTGAAACTTCTATAGCTATGTCAAATTAAACGGCTAATGAGAAAAATTCTGAATATAGAAAATCCCACAGTTATTACTTCTGAAAGTTTGTGTACTCTAACTGGCGTTGTCTATTTTCGTCTCGTCGGAAAGCGAGCCTCCGTAACACGTGTGCTTTTCAACGAAGGAATGCTATATTGGTGAAACACAGATAGGGTACCTCACACTCCCAGTAGAATGCTTTCTTTGTGCCCTACCTTGGATTTGTCATGGCCTTGATTGCAGTTCTCGCATATTTAGAATTTTTGTGCACCTTGTTGGGAACATAAAACGTGCACGCCGGCTTAGGACGGCCTTGGAAATTATTGTGGTGCTCACCGACAACCATCTGTTAAGCAATGCCAATAACATTGTTTGAAGCGTCCCCAGGGCTCTTGTGGTCTAAAAAATATGCCTCAATACAGTTGTGTAAATACAGTCTACGCTCATTATAACAGACCTGGTTACAACAGACATTTGGATATAACATACCGATCTGTGAAGTTTGGTTGGCTTCCCTCTATGCACCATTGACTCAATTTCATATCTGCATACAACATACTCCTCTTACAACAGACCGAAATCTTGGTAAAAATGAAGGTCTGTTATAACGAGCTTAGACTGTAATGCCATCCTTGTTACAAAGACTGATGCAAGCAGGTAGGCATGTTAGTCAAGTGCAGCCACTGTTCCCACGACTATTTTTGTCATCTCACCAGCTTGTGCCGAAGCTTAAATTTACGTTGAAACCGAAACTAGAGTTCTTTGTTCATCCATGAGATTGTGGAACAAAACTATGCGCACTAAATTTAATTTATTGACGGCGCTTGGAAACCAGCCATTGAGACCATTGTGTCTTAACGGCTGTCCGCTCAAACACTTTCGCACACAGCATGATTTAGTAGTGCATCATAGCACCGCTAGCTTGGAGAACGCATTCCAGTCTGGCAGGCAACGAAACATAAAGGGCTTCGATGAAGGAGGTGTCACCTTGAAGGCGCTCCCACCCTTTCTGTGTCTTTTTCCAAAAACTTTACGGACACATTATTTGCATCGCTCTTTTCACTCTCGAAACATAAAAAATGGTACAAAACTTTTCTTTTTGTGTGTGCAGAATCGATAAAATATTGTCTGTTTTATTGACCTTCGGCGCTTCTATCCAGGCAAGAACCAACTAGCCCAACTAAGCATCTTGTTGAAAAGAAGCATAAATATTTTTTGTAATAATTGGAGCATGCTTTAGCATTTTAAAATGAAACTTGTTAAGCGGCCAGCGGGAACACAATAGAAACAAGCTGGAAAGTTCAAAGTTTCTTGTATAAAGTGAAGCTGAGATAATGTCAAAACAAGTTGAGTCAAGTGTGAACCCACCATTGCACCTTAAAGAGCCCCTGAAAAGAAAAAAAACTTTTTTTTAACAGTTTAGTTGGGACACGCGTGTCGAAAAATTAACTCTGCATTCCCACATTCATTCTCACTCACTTTCACACTCTCATTCTTGCACACTATCATGCTCACTCACCCCTCACAATCACTTACTCACACTTATAGTACCTTACAGCACACATCAGAGTCCATCTGCTACCTCTAGAAGTTATGACCTTGTTTCATTGCAGTGTGGGTGTTCTTTCTTTGTGGGAGTGAGCTTTTGAAGTGTGTCCTTCTGTGCTGGGAAGTGTAAGCACGAACCACCAACTCACCCAATCTGAAGTATTGACCGCTTACTCACGGTCGCCTGCTCTTATTCTCTCGCATCCACTTGCTCTTGCACGCTCTCGTGCTCACTCACTTGTCCCCTCTCCAGGGACGCGTGGCTTACGAGCGCCGTGGCGAATGCTTCTTCCTCCCCTACACCGAATCCGACGTGGAAGAGGGGGCGACGCTGCACCAAGGCGACGATGTGCGCTTTGTTCTCGCGACGTGCGAAGACACCGGTGCGCTGTGCGCCCGCAGGGTGCGCCCCGAACACCAGGCGCCGGTCGCCGCGGCAACAAGGGGCACGGACGACGTCTGCTCTTCCCCAGGGGGCGCTGGCAAGAAGGGGTCGTCGCAGCGCAAGCAGGGAGTGGTGTGCGCGCTCAAGGACACCTTCGGGTTCATCGAGAGGGCCGACATCGTCAAGGAGGTGAGCCTCGGCTGTTGACATCGTGTTGTGTGCGTGTATTTAGGCAGGGTGAAGTTGGTCAGTCCCTGTGGGCATCTGGTCTCTGTTGTAGGAGAGACATTTAGCCAGTGCGGTATCACCGCAGGCCTGGGGTCTTTAATGTGCATCACATACCGGTAATACATGGCCGCGCGCTCGTATGATGCCTGTCTAGATTAAAACAGGCAGGGGTGGGTTTTTAAGGACACACTGACACCCCCCCCCCCCCCCCCCCCAATATTTTAAAAATTATTTCTTGTTAGGCAATTTGATAGGATGTTGGGAGACTACCCAATCAATATTTTGCTGCAGAGTCGCATACATTTTTAATAAAGCCAAAAAAATCAACTGCTGAAAACTGAAACACGAGGTAGTAGCTCATGGCCGGAAGTTACGTGGCTACACCCGCCTGCATTTTTTTTTTTCCTCCACTTCTCCAGACTCCAAAGCAGATGCAAGGACGAACTTGCGTGAACTGTTTGTTGGCCAATTGTTTCACACTGGTATCCCTTCCGCTCGATGTTCTGATGCGCTTGATGATCGATTGGCAGGTATTCGGAATGACGTGTACGTGTACTTCCAACAATTTGTGCAACATTTTTTTTTATCAATGTTTTTGCAGTTTTTTGAGGGCCACAGGGGAAAATGTGGTTCATGTTCTTTTCTATTTCTAATATTGAATGCGCGTCTTAGATAGCCCATGACTTTTAATATATTTGGTGCTCATACTTTGAACACCACGTGACCATGGAAACGAGAGTGAGCGCGACTGAAACCGGCCAATTCTCAACCGGCTGTTTTCGGGCAGAAAGTAAATGAATTTCCAACCTCGAATTGTGTTTGGATACTTGTGGTCTTATAGGTCATGTTCAGACAAAATCCTCAGCGAGCATAAATACCCTGTTAAAACCACAAATACTTTAAAAAAGATGTTTTTTTTAAACACCATGAATTTTAAAAAGTGCACTTCTGAGTTTTGAATGCGAAAGCATGAAGGTCCAATGGAACGCTGCAGTGTGATCCGCGGAGTTTTGTGGAGCGAGTAATGTTTTCGAGTTGTGGCAGAAGCACTGGCGACGATGTAGATGATGGAGGCGGCGCCATGTTCGTCGTCGGCGAGGGGGTGATGAAGGCAACGGCATGTTGGTCGGTGGCAAGACGAGCAGAAGCCTCCGAGCGCGCATCAACGTGTCCGTTTTAACCGCCGTGGTGCCCGTGGTGGCATGGGGTTCGGGTGGTTAGTATTATCAGCATGCTGGCGGCACTGACACTCAGCGCCGTCTGGCGGTGGTCGTTGAAACTGACGCGTGTAGCGGCCAATGGGAGCCTCGTCGCCGCGCACCAGTCAATGGGACCTCTGGGATCAGTTTTCGCGCTTCAGACTGATGATGTCGGCTCTCTCCATGGGACAGTTAATGCTTTTGCATTAAAATATCTTTTTTTTTTTTTTTTTTTTTTTTGAGGTGGCCCTATCTTTTTTGATTGAGGCGAAGAGCACCTTCTGATATTGGCTTTGATGCAGTGAAGCAGTACAGATGCCTACAGACTTTGCCAACAGTAAGGCTCTTAACAACGGAGTGCTTGGATCACAGTGGTGCTTTGTTGGGACGACCGGGATCTTCTAAAATGGTGCTTATACTAGAACACTTACCATATTTTTTTTTTACTATATAGACCATGGCTGGTGTATGGTCTGTAGGGGCAAATTTTGGTTACCAAAAAAGTTGATTGTTTTATAGTCTGCACCCAGTTCATAGTTGGCACTCAGTGCATAATTTGCACCCGAGGCGTTCCTGCATGTTCATCTTGACAAGTGCTTGTTTAGTAGGTAACAAGGAAGCTTGTAGCACAAAATCACCATTAACACATTGTGTCATTCACAAAATTTTGTTGTGTCTTGTCATAATGAATGTTCTGGAAATAAATCCTCGTGCAGTCTACACCTGTGGATAGCGCGCATCACATAAACTTCAACACGTGCAGTCCACTGACCGTAGACCATTCCAGTGAGGGCTCTCTGGGCGGCGCCACTTTGTTTGACTGCAGTGCCATCCACATACGTCCGTACACTACAACGGAATCGTGGGGTAAAAGAAGAAACGCGCACGTGCCCCAATCCCAACAGCAGACGTCGAACGGCGGTCCTCCCTGGGCATCTCGGCCAACTGGGCGGTGTAAAAGAGGGAAAGGGCACCAGCCGTTTTCGTTGTCTGGGCAGTTCCGGTGTGCCGTACCAAATACCGTGGAAGCCAATACTGGCAACTCCCGCGGAAAACGGACGAAAAGTGATTGCAGCGCCCCTGGCGAGCTCGGAGTCTCCGCTGGCAGACAAATTCTCCAAAATGCATTAATTTTGCCTATCTCCGTGCGAGGTGACCAACGAAAAAAAATTGTCACGGACATTCGCTGCTTTGAAAGTTAAAAAATGGATGCCAGCTCATGAGTGAAGGACATTCTCTTCGCGTGGGAAAGATGTTACAGCTTTCTGTGTGCAATTTTGGAGTTCTCCCGAAGAAAACATTCTGTCACAACTTATGTAAGCTAAGCAAAACACGAATGTATGCCTTCGCGCTGTTTCGTGAAAAAGGGAAATGTACAAACATTTCAGAACATAGCTTCGTTTCAACTTTATTGTTCTTATCAGTCAATTCGTTTTGTTGTTGCAATTCCCATTTCTCATGAATGTCTTGTTTATAACCGTCTCGTCGAACAGGCGAGCTGGCTAATCCCGTTAAGATCGTCTCCGGATGAAGAAGCAGAAGTCAATTTCGAACCACGTACGTTACGGCGATGTCAGTATGCTCCGAAAGAAGTCGTTATGCATATGCAAATCTAACGCGATTATAGATTAACAAAAGCGGAGTTACGAAAAAAGCAGACTTCTCGCGCTTGCATAGAAAGACGGGGAGAGCGTCGTAGCCCCGCGAAAAAAGGTGATTGCAGTCACGTTATTTACAGTGCACAAATTCCGATTGTTAGCGCGGGGACGACCAACATCTTCTACTTCGCTGCTTCTTTACTTTTACGATAAAGGCCGACGCCCGTTGAACCGTCTCCACTCTTTCCATTTTTGAGTCTTCTTTCTTTTACATTTTTGAGGCGACGCCACTCTGCCGCGTTATTTTTTTTTTTTGCCCGACGTGTAAATCATCGCGTATCCTTGCTTTGTTTGGCTTAGTTTTTACTCCCGTTCCTTCGCTTCGGCGCTTACTACCCCCGGTTCGTCTGCGCTAGGCCCGGGCATTCTGAGGGCCGTCTGCAACTTTGCTGTTGTTGTTTTCTTCCACTGTCGTCTGCGATAACCTCCTATTTTCGCCTTCGATTGAGTTTCTAATCCAAAATCGTCATACGTGCTTTTTGATATTTATTAAATATATTAAGAAGTGTAAGCTCGGTATCCATTTTTATTCGAATTTTATTTGTGTACTCCGGCCGGCACGTCTGCTACGGGTCATCGTTTGTTGATCAACCGGCCGCATTCGAGCACACACCAGAGCATACTTAGAGATGGCAGGCATGCTATGTGCTGCCTACCATTGCAAGAACAAGTTGTGCGATGTGGTGGAAAATCTTTCTTCTGCTTCCTACGTCAACCTACGGACACCTACATCAACAAGTACTTGAATGCACTTTTAAACTGCTCTTCAAGCGAGCGAACGAACAACCCGCCAAAGTCACTGGAAAAAGAAATTCGAAAGCAAAAAAAAAAGGTTACTCACTGCTAGCACGTATAGAAGATTGCTGCCTGCGACCAAAACATTTCTGCGACTTTTTACCGGGCATTGTGAGCTGGGGGTGCACTACGCTATTTATTTCCCCTGCTTTGTTTTTAGTTCGTACCTACGCCGCGAAAGCAAATGAAAAAATGTACAACAAGCAGCTGAAAAAAAAAAAAGGACGCTTTCTTCTTTTTTCATTAGTTTCGTCTGTTGCTTCCGCTTTGTTTGTCGTGAACTCAACACCGGTGGCGACCACCAGCTATTCATTTGCTGCTTTCCATTTTTCTTTCTTTTTTTTTTTATAAGCGCCGCAACGATCGTTGTCGTTGAAATAGTTTTTTTGCTATAGTCAGTTACAGGTTAAGAAGGTAGCATCAAATGCCCCTCAAAGGGAATCAGATATCCCTCCGCCACCTTTGCATCCAATACCGTCCCACCGTTTCCGTGACGTCGCGGACAACGCGACGTCAAGTCAAGAAGGTAGGAGCTTCTCCTACCTTCTTGACTTGTAACTGACTATAGCTTCTTTGTTTTATTCGCCGTTGTTCGCTTCTCTTTCCCGTTTCTTTTTATTTTCGTTGGGAATGGCGACACCATTTTTTCTGTAAAGTTCGGTAAGTGTTTGCACAGTCATTTTTATCCTTACTTTTTGTTTTGTTTTTATGCTCCAGCAGCTCGTGCGCTTGCTCTGGTAATATTAACATGCCGTTTTTGCATGTTTTAATGATTACGACGTAGTTCAAGTAGCTAAACGCCTTTTTTCCTCTTCCCAGACGCGTTTCAAACGCGTGTGATCCCCAGGGAGGTGTTCACATAGAGATCAGTGGAGGCGTTTGAGACCGCTAAATAAACTGCTCTATCTTTGTTTATGCGCGCGTTGTTATTCGATTGTCGTTGCAGTTGCGATCAGTGGATTCCGCTTTGCAAGCGGACTGACTGTAATAAATTGTTTTTGCTGTTAGGGTGACGAAACGGGGCTCGTAAAGCTCGAGGACGTCGCGGAGCCTATACTTTTCCATTGCGTCGACTGCTTCCGTAGACTCCGAGTCCGCTAGAGGCGCCACTGTCACGTTCGCCGCCGCTCCTATGTGTTTTCGGAGGAGTTTCCAGTATTGGCGAAGCTATATCGTATTTGGCCGTACCGCCAGAACCTTTAAACGTGGAGGCCTAGCCGAATGGTCTGTAGTTCGGAGAATACGACGTTCGTGGGAACCCAGATCGAGAACCCGCGTCGTGGACGTCTGCACGAGTCCCGTCCTTGCCCTCCCCCAGATCTTCTTCCACTCGAGCGAGTGCCGGGACTTCCGTTCGCTGTCGCTGGGAGAGGACGTGGAGTTCTCGGTGCAGCTGCGCAACGGCAAGGAGGTGGCGTGCGGCATCGTGCGCCTGCCCACGGGCACGGTGGTCTTCGAGGACACCGGCACGGAGCTGCTGGAAGGCACGGTGACCGCCCTCGCGGACCGGTCCAGGCAGGGCGGCGCCCAGGCCTCGGCCTCCTCGGACCCACTCCCGGGAAGGATCGTCTACACCCTCGGAGACAGGTGAGGCTGCCCCCTATGTAGTCCGTAGTACTGTCCCTGCAAGCCCCCGGTCGGAAGGAAACTCCGTTGCTCGTTGCGGCAGCTTTCTCCCATGACAAACTGAGCCACCGGGGCCTCGCTCTCTGCACCTTGGGTCAAAACGGATTTAGAAAAGGCATATGCCGTAATATCCCAGGAGATGTCCCACCCCCGAATGATAGCTTGTCCACTCCTAGTAATAGTGGTGTTGGGATTAACGATGGCCTCGGTGTAAATGTGGCTTGTTAGCTGGAGTGGGATACGAGCGAACGTTGCTGACTGGGAAGTGCAGTCGTCCTTGCTTCGTTGCCCCTCGCAACAATAACGATCTTGGAAGGAGAAAAATGACCGCATCTCCAGGTGGTGAATGATGTTGATTGGTGCAAAGCTCTGGTAGTACTGATGATACTGATTTTATTTTTCATAGGTAGTGCTGATGGTGCTGATTTTTTTTTATTGCTCATAGGTAGTGCTGAGTTCCGGGTTGCATTTTCACTTCATTATTACTGCTTTATGGTCAGTGAAATGCAGAGCCCGTGGTTCTTCTAGCGGATCAGCTTGGATCCGCTAGAAGCTGTTGGAACGCACCTCCACCGCTTAAGTCAATGGTCCATGTCAGAAAGAGAATGTGTGGTATGGAACGTGGTTATATATGCATTAGAGCATTTGACTGCAGCGCCCTATCGTCTATAAACGTTAAGCCAATGCATGCAAAGTTTAACGCGATTATATACGCATTTGACCGCAGCGCGCTCTCCTATATATACGTTGAGCGGCTACATGCATCGTTTCATCCATGACGGAAACCCCAGCTCTTGAGTTACTACCACGTCTCAGAGTCCCCTACTCATCCCGCAGTCGTGGCCGAGTGGTTAAGGCGATGGACTAGAAATCCATTGGGGTCTCCCCGCACAGGCTCGAATCCTGTCGACTGCGCAAACATTTTTTCTTTTTATGTGAGCATGGATGCCGGACGGACGGACAAGGCTAGTGCCTAAGGAGCTTCGCCCCTAACAAAACCTGAAATAGCATTTTTTTTTTCAACTTTTCACAATTGCACATTAAAAGTTAGCGCACTCTATATTTTCACCCGATTTTCTATTGATTTTAGTATGGCTGTCTCAGGATGTTACGGTAGGTTTAAAGGCGGTGAAGGAAAAATGGACTTTGCGGAGCTGGGGGTAACCGAGAGGAGGTTATCTGGTTGGCAGCATGACTCGAGCGAAGAATAAATATTGTCCTGGTCTTGTCCTGTCGACCCGTTGGACGGAACGTGTGCGCACTGAAAGGAAAAAGGTGCTTACGTTGCATTAATCTTTATTTTTAGCTGTTTTGCTATGCATTTTTTACCTTTCTGCTTTTTTAGATATGGTAGGAGTAAAGGTTCACAGGGTCACTTTGCACCGTCCGGGTTGCCAGGTCCGGATGGGGTGACGAACTTCGTTGTGGGGGAGCTGGGTAGTTTTTGTCGACAACAAAGTAGCTTCCCTTGGCGGTCGACGACTAACTCAGTCAGTTGGACTGGGGAGTTACCTTTCAATGAACAATTTAAAATTTTTGTGGCGAACAAAATGAATAAGAGAACACCAATACTGCAAGAAGGTGACTTCCCTTGCATGGGGTTGGGAAGGAGGTGCTCGGGAGTTGGCTGGCTCGTGGGATTACGTTCTGAATACGGGGACAAAAGTCCCTCAGTATCCCGCAACCTGACCCGATTCCTAAGTGTCAGCTCTGGAGCTCCAGCACAAACTAAACTCACTTGTTGCGTTTCCACCCAAAATCACTCGTTGGTCCATCCCCTCTAAGTGGACTGGCAAATCCTTGACGCATCGTCAGACAGGCGTTCCCCACTAACCAAAATGCCACAACCAATTGGCTCACCTTCTCACCATGGGTAAAGTGCTTACACTTTCGCACGAGACCCTGCGTTCTGTGTATATCTTGCGGCCAAAGGTCAGGCGGGTTCGGATGCAAGCAAACTATATCTAGAACTTGCAAGGCGAGTCAGAGAGCCGACCTTGGTGTGGATAGCACCGACCAAGTCATCCCCTCATTCATTCTACCAGATGCGGTCTTACGTTGCCGTTTAGTTGCAGTCGGTCGAGCCTGACAAGGTGCCTTAGGACTGTGTCGCATTCTTTCCTCAGTGTGCCGTAAGGCTGTGCAGCCCCTATGGCATCGCGCGGAAGAGTGGCAATAGCCAGTACTTATGGTAGGGTTGCCACAAATATTGCGGTAGTTAGCTATGTGACAGGAGGCCACTACATGACCCCGCGGTGATATGAAAGAATGCTCCAAGCCACATCACCTTTCAAAGAAACTTGTCTCTAGGCACAGCTTTGGGCGAACATACTCTCACAGCTGTAAACTCAGCTTTGAGGAAGTTTCATTCACGCTTTTATTTGAAAACTCTCAGTCTGTTTGGACCGTTCTTGCGGCTTAACGGCGTCTCCTGCAGAACCAAGCAAAGGCCACATTCATGGCCAGTAAAAGAGACTTGTTGTAAGTGAATTCAGGAGCAATAAGATAAGTAGATGGGCTAGTCGGTACCTTTTGGTACCATCAAAGAACCCCGTGTGTCTTCTTTTGGTGTCAGTCTGCTTCGGTGCTTGCACGGAATTGAAGCGAAAGGTGTGCTGATGCATGCAGGGAGCTGGACATCTCGTACGGAGAGCGTGACCCCAAATGCGACTACTCCCTGCAAGTGGGGGACCGGGTGCAGTTCTGCATCGCCACCGACCGGAGGGACGGCCTACAGCGCGCCACCAACATAGAGCTGGTCGACCAGTCCTTTGCCAACGAGACGCGCCAGGTGGTGAGTGGCTCCACCCCTTGGGACGGTTCTGCTCTCTTCCGCTTCTTTTTGAGGGGGTCGTTCGGAAGACGTTTTGTCTCCCGGTCGGCCGCCAACATTTAGATTCCTCGGCGATCTTCTTTTCGTCTGGGAATGGCATTTGTTTTGCCGGTAAAAATGGGGCTGTGGAGTATGGCGGTACAAATAAACTATCGCAGACACGGCCGGCTATAACCTAGGTAGTGCTGTGGCCTTGTCTGCTTCGCGTCTAGCAGACGACCAATTGTGGATACGACCACTAACTGGAAAAACAATCAATCTCCGAGAGAAATGGCAGTTTGATTCCTCTCCGAGAGCGTGACACTAAGAATGCGGGACAGCCAGTGCTAGCGCGTAGGTCGCTGTGTCCACGATAGTACCCCTATAGTATTTTACAGACAGTACTTTTTTTGCGTCATCGCAGCATAAGTGTGCTCTTACTGCTTTAGTGTCTCGGAGACAGTACTTTTGTGCGTCGGTATTTTCTATGGAAGAGTGTTATGAAATGGTGCTGGTATGAAGTAGTGGCCTCGATGGGGGATTTCATTTTCTGGTTTGGATTCTTCTCTCGATTTGTGTTGTTGATTGGTTTCATGGTTTACCTCGGCTTCTTGAACTTGGTTCTACGACTAGTTCTTAATTTGAAGTGCCCTAAGTGCCTTCATTCAATGGGCATTCTTTGGCATTTTTGCAAAATTTATTTTGAACTTGTCTCAAAAGCAAAATACAGCAGGGATGGCAATATTGAGTGACGTAACTTGGTGAATTTATAATTCTCCTCTCGACCCCGCAATGGTAGAAATTCGAATTAAAAAAAAGTAAATATGTCAAAGCTGTGAAAGAAAACAATTTGCTTTTCGGAAGTGTGGTGAGGGTCATGCTCGTAGTGAGAGCTACACAATTGAAGACTTTGTACCGCGGCTACACTTTATGTACCACAGGAATTTTCGACTAAGGTGATTTTAGAGACTTGTTACTTTTGCTGTTCTTCTTTCTTTCCTTTATCCTTTTAGTTATTCTTTTTGCTATGTAGTCAGCTTTGGTATGGGGCAACTTTGTAACTAGATGAACCCAGGAGACAGGGTAATTTGGGTTTGTCTGCAATGTGGTTGTCTTCCCCACTCCCGTGTCTGCCACCAGGGCGTTGTTGCGACGGTGAAAGAGACCTTTGGCTTCATCAGCTGCCCTGCTCGGGACAGCCAGATCTACTTCAAGACTTGCGAACTTTTGGATCCCGAAGTCCAGCTACACGCCAGCGATGAGGTGGAATTTACAGTGGCCCAAGTAAGGAATCGAATCTCCTGCAGGCTTCCAAGTGCCCTCCCATCGACTTTGATCATCTCGGCTTCGTCTATCTGGCTGGGCCCAAAGTGGCTTAGCCTGATCTTGCGAATGTATTTGTTGCTGGCTTGCGCATGGCTGTGGATTGCTGCAGGACTTTTGAACTAAGTCTGAGCCGGCATAGGTGCAGTGGTAGCAACACTGCTGCTAGGCTTTGGGCTTGTGCTTTTATGGCTTGATTTGGCTTGACTTGTACTTGTCTTAGCTGAAGGCTCGGAACATAACTTGGTCTCAGTTGAAAACATATTCTTCCTTTTAGTCCTTTGTTGGTCGAGGCATGTTCCTTCCCCATTTCCCCATCATTTCTTGAGGTGCTCTTCTTTTTCGTCAGAAAGGAACAGTGTTTTGGCTGCAACTGAGCTCCCTTTCTTTTTTTCTCTCCAAAAAGCAGTATGAATATTTTGTTTGACCCCTTTGTAGCTAATTGCTGGCATGCAGTCATTACTTGCTTGCTCTTCGCATGGTGGTGGTTACAACAGTTTAAACAAGCTAATCTTATTTTTTACTACTGCTTTGCATCAACCAATTGATATCACACGTTTGCTTTACCTTTTGACTGATGTTATTGCTGGAGTACAGTGCAAAGGGTAAAAGTGACATGGTCTTTGGCATTGACTGATGGGTCGTCAGAATGTGTCGGAATGCTACGTGGCTGCTTAGAATGTCACTATACTTGGGTAAAGTATGCACGGGTTAGAGAAATGGCTAGCGTTGCATTCTTAGCATCTCAGACTGACGTTGGCTTCAATACTAGATTGAGGCGGAGTGTTCGTTGACAGGAAAAGTGTGGGAAAGTCATTGAAGCTGGAGACACAATTGTGTTAGACATCCCAAAGTTTCTTGGGAAACTACCGTAATATACAGAGCAAGTGCCCACCCAAAATTTGGAGGTTATCCGGAAAGACTGGGGCATGGGTGCTTCTTAGAACCTGCAGAAGGGGGCCGCATGATAGGGGGGCTCCGCCGCTTGGCACTGGCATGCTCGTAGAAGTGGTTAACGTGTAGGAGCATTTAGATTATACTTCGTTTCAGCTAAGTGCAGACGCAGCCGATGCTCCGAGCACGAGCATGTGTCCTCGAACAGTGCTTGGACTGCACGAGCACGCGTGCTTGGCAGGGACACTGAAAGGCCGGAGGTCGCACTTGTAGCATTGGCTGCGTCTGGACTTGGGCTGAGATGAAGTATTGCCAAGTGGACTCAGAAGTCCGGGGGGAGTGATTGATACGAGCTTCGCTTATGTTTAATGTTTGGTGTTCTCTATTTAAACCAATAAACTATTTAATTTTTTCGGTATTCGTTTTTAACTGAAAATGGTTAGTATTTTAGGCTAATATGGCACAAGTGAGGGGCATTGGGGAAGGGGGGGGTGGCATTATCATCGTGTGACCTTGTGTCTCGCTTTTTTATTGAGTTGTCAGCTACCTTTGGGATTGCCCTATGTTACCGTTGGGAGGGTCCAACAGTAAACGGTTCCTTGGTGGGGGGAGGTTTAAAGCTTTCCTCTCTTTTGTGATCGAGCACTGCGTTGCAAGTTTGCGAATAGACAAATAAAAGAGAATGTGTACATTCTTGGGTTTGAAAGGCAATGTCGCACTTATCTGCAAAAGACCGGTAAACTTTCATATGTATATACATTTTTACCGAAAGAAGCTAAATATTTTCTTACAAAATAAAAACTGAAAAAAGTATATGGAATTTGAAAAAAAAAAAAAAAGTCAAAATAGAAAACTCTAAATTATTATTTTTTTTTTTTAAGCAAGGGGTTCGAGCATTTAGCGTGACGGGGGCTGATGCTCTGCATTTCACTGCACAATGCACGCACGGTTTCCAAAAATGGAATCATTGGCCTCCGTTTCTAAACCTTCGAACGAAGAGTGCGACGTTCGCTTTGTCGTCCCGTTTTACGTAGCCTACGGAACGTCCCCCCATTTTTACGGGGCTGCACGTGCCGTTTGGGGCACGGGTTCCAAGGGTGGGGTGTGGGGTGCGCAGGACCCGTCTTCCCCAAGCCGCTTCCTGGCGACTCGCATCCGGCGTCTGTCGTGCGACGGAGACAGCGACGGCGGCGGACAGCGCATCCGTCGCTCGCTCTCCAACGGCGACGGCTCCTCAGCCCTGAACGGGTCAGAGGCGGACGGCAAAGGGTCGCGCAACGCACGGGTACGTCTCTTTCTCCGTTACTGGTGGTTGATTGATGGTGTTGGGTGGAGCAGTGTCAAACGTGCCAAACTATTTCCCTTTTTTTTTTCTTTTTTTTTTTCTTTTTAACTCGCCGATATTTTGAAATAATTTCAAAGTAGACGCCAGTTTTTAGAAAGGTGGTTGTACCTGTCTCTGGTGTGCCGTAAAATGGGCTTTGAAGTGCTGCTTGCCTTTGATTAAATTACGGTGAGTTAAAGGGGTACTCCACCGATTTTTTGAGCTACCTCAACTAACTATATTTTCTGACTCCCCGGCCTTTAGCCTTTCCGGTATGCTATTTAGCATCGCGAAATTCATAATAGGTATTGTGAAATCGGCAAATGAAAATAGTGCAAAAACCAATATTCAAATATTCGCACACTTTTCAGTGCCGTGACGTCAGTGGAAGGCAGGCTTGTCAGTCGGGCAAACAGTCTAAAAAATAGAATACTGTATGCCAATCATTTGTTCCGTGCTGGAGCGCGGATACGAGAGCGAGCTTCCAAAGCACTCATTTGACACCAAGAAACTGCTTCAAATCCGTTGGGAACATTTTCTGTAGTCCAAAAAGTTAACCCCTGCCTTCCACTGACGTCACTTTTTCGTTGTTGCCAGTAGAGACTTTCAGTTTGAAGAACATGGTGAAGACCAAAACTGTAAATTCAATAACTTCGCGAAAAAACAATATTTTGACCTAATATTTGGGACACTATTTTAGCAATGTTTGTTGGTTCGATTAGCAAAATTTCAAGCAAATCGGAGACAATGAAAAAAAACGGTGGAGTACTCCTTTAAGACCACGAGTCGCTTGGGTGTCGTTGTGACGCTACTTTTTTCATTGGTTCTCGCACGACTCGCGAAGCACAGTCTACCCGGCGACTTGGGTCCTAACTCGTAAGTCCTTGCAACCTAGTCAAGAATTAGTTTTTGAACGAGTCTTAAGACTGTTACCTAATTCTCCGGGTTTTTGGGACTACGACTACATAACTACAATGAAGTCTGCCAAAAGGCAGTGGCCATTCTTTTGTCTGGTCCGAGGATCCCCAGTTGGCAGGTTTGAACGCCGGCCAAGGTGGCCGCAACGGGGCGTAGGCTTGTTGCAGAGAAGGTAACCAAGATTTTGGTTTCTTGTCGGGTCGTTAAACCACTCTCAGTCCCCCGGTGGGGCGTGTCAGACGCCCTCTGCGGGTTTGGCACGTAAACCCCCGAATTCGCCTCGTTTTGTGGGATCGCCTGCAACTTCCTTGCGGGACGACGGTTGCAGAAAGATTCCTCGACGCAGGGTGAGGCGGGCAAGGGTCGTGCCGGGGGCCGCAACGGCTTCCGCTACACGCACCGCGGCTACATTGCCGCCCTCAAGGAAAGCTTCGGCTTCATTGAGAACGAAGAGCACAACCAGGACGTCTTTTTCCACTTCAGGTGGGTGAGCAGGACCGCGCCGGTTCCTTTTCCAGCTGCTTCGTAGCCGGAGTCGTTCCTTTGCGTGTAGACAAGTAATTCCTGTCTGGAATACCGAGACCATTGCGACTGGGTCGAATCGAGAATGGCACGTTGTGCGACGGAATTTCAATAAGACATCGATGCTTCTTTGCATTTTACCGAAGCGAGCTGTTGACCGGCACGCAATTTTACAGCTCAGGTTGGAGCCCCGAATGGGCATTCCTCATTGCAACGGCGTCGCAACGTTGGTTCCGACAATACCTTTTCTGTTCTAAGAGAAAAACAGTAAAAGATGATCACCTCTATCCTATATATTCGGCTTGAATTGCGCAAGATGCGAACCTGAGGGGTTTCTATTTTGGCACTCCATCTTTCCCACTAAATTTAGCGGACAATGGCTACGTGACACCGCCCCTGTAGTGTTATGTGTCACCAATGTCGCGACTGTCATGTGACCCCGAGGGATGTCAAATGGCATTGGTGTCAAGGTATGTGGTCACGGGACGTCAAATCATATAATCACGGAACAGCAACATAAAGTTACCGTAATATCCCGAGATCCCGCCCTCTTTTTTTTTTTGGCAGGATTTGCTAATTTTCCAAAAACGCCAAAAGATAGTCCACTTCTAGTAATTGCAGGGCCTAGTCCAATGGTGACCTCAACTGAAATGGTGTCACTTAGCCACGGCGGGAGATAAACAACATTGCCCACTGGGAAGGACAGTTGTCTTTGATTTTGTGTCGGATTTTAGGCTGCGATTGCAAGTCTCGCAGGTTACAAATCCTAAAACTAGTGTTTTTTCAACTCTTTTATTGCACACCAAAGGTTAGCTTGCTTCTTATTTTCACTCGATTGGCTTTCGATTTTAGGTGAGCTATCCGAATATTACAATGCGTGACCACGTGGCTGTTTTTTTTTTAAATTGCAGTAGGCTTGCGAGAATTCGAACTTCCGGTTAGTTCAAACAGATTTGAAAATTTTGGTTGTCCCGCTATGTTTTTAATGTATTTATAAGCCGCTCAATCCGAACGGCGTTTTCGCTTAGTTCATACTTTTCGTTCTCGCAGCCCCGTTGAGTGCGCTTCTTTCCAAGCACTGGTGCGCTGCAGAGAAGCAACAACCGCGGGGCGTGCTTCCTCGGGTGTTGCTTCTCCGCAGTGCACCGGTGCTCGGTGAGAAGCGCACTCAACGGGGCTCAAGCTGGCGCACATGAGCTCTGAAAACAAGCACCACGCAAACATTTCCATAGTAACTTGCACGGACACTGTGACGTGGCGGAATGGCATAGGTCCACGTCACAGCGTCGGCGCAAGTTGCTATGATAACTGCTGCGCGGTGCCAGTTTTCATTGCTCATGTGTTCCCTGCTTAATAGTCCACATTAGACAACCTCTTGGCCTGATGAACAAAGTTAATTTTGTTTTGAGTTGTGATCTGCTGTCTAAACAGTCCACGGTAAACAGCATTTTTGAGGGATAAATGAACTTATGCCATATATTTCACCAATGTTTTATGGTTAGCATACCTGCTTATGATCAGTAGGCCTATGAGAGGAAATCACTAAATATCTGCTTTGTGACATATGACATTTCATAATTTTATCTTGCATCATATTTACATGAATTTCTAATGTGATAATTAAAACAAAATTCGTATCCTCGCAATACCCGACGTACACCAAATACGTTTCACGGGTTTTCACCAGAGTGGAAAGGCTGAATTTCTCTAGGCACCGTCCTAGAAGTTGTCCTTGAGGTTGTCCTAGAAGTTGTTCTTGAGGTCATACGAGACATTGTCCTTGAGGTCGTCCTAGAAATTGTCCTCAAGGTTGTCCTAGGAGTCCTTCTTGAGGCTGTCTTAGAGGTCGTCCTAGAAGACGTCCTTGAGGTTGTCCTTGATGTCGTCCCTGAGGTCGTCCTAGGCGTCGTCCTTGAGGTTGTCCTAGACGTCGTCGTCTAGGCGTCACCGTTGAGGTCGTCCAAGAAGTCGTCGTTGAGGTCATGTTAGGACGTTGTCCTCTAAACGTCGTCCTAGACGTCGTAAAGATAACAGCTCTGCTGGTCCCCCATCTTCATGTGAAATGAAGGGCTCTACATTTTCGACTCGTGATTTTCTGGGCCCTCTTTGCTCGTGCAGCGTGTTTGAGGGCAACCCGACCCTGCTGGAGCCCGGCCAGGAGGTTGAGTACGCCCTGAGCCACAAGGGGCCCAAGCGCAGCGCCGAGTGCGTGCGCAAGCTGGCCTCGGGCACCCTGGGCGGCCAGGACACGGTGCGGCCGGAGCTGCTGAGCGGCACGGTGGAGCGCCCCGTGCGCTGCTTCAACCCAGACCAGGAGCAATACGCAGGCGTGGTGCGCCTGGCCACCACCGGTGAGTGGGGGCGCTGTTGTGCGGCGCCTCTTTTCCCCCTGCAGTCTCTGCGTACTGCGTGACGGTGGATCCTCTTTAATTTGGACTCTTTCATGAACCTAGGGGGAAAATGGTTTATTTTTTTCTACCTGGTTAAAGGAGCTGTGCAACAACTTCAGGGCTTTGCTTAAATAATTGTGGAAGTTGATGCCTGACACTTCTGCAGTGAACTCCAGAAAACAGATTTTGCCTGGATACCCTAGTTTTTACTTTAAAAAATGAAAAAGATCCAGGTTTTTGCCACCTCTCAACTCGTGCATCGTCTTCCGGGTCACGTGCACAGTGACGTCACTAGAGTAGGCGCGGAGTTCCGGAAAAGTTCTCTCTTTAGAGCCATCAGCGAGCAGCGAGAACTCATCCGCTCCCGACCGCGTGACCACCCGTCCTTGCCCGTCCGGCGCTGTCCCTCCCCCCTCCGGCTTCTGGCGGCTGTTCGCGGTTTTGTGGACCTAGGATAGATGGCGCCACTAAAACTCCGTATAATAAAAGTTTTGTCGATGATACCAGGGTGTTGACGCATTTATATATATGTTGGAACGACAAGATTTATAAAAAAAGTTACCTTTTATCGAGCAGGTATTCGCACAACTTGCTATCTTTCTTACAACGACCCAAGTGACGTCACGCCGCTTGTTTCTCATGGCCGCCGCTCGTGGCTGCAGGTCGGGAAATATTCCAAGTTTTGCCTCGCTATTACGCGGCGGAATTGCAACATTGCGATGAAAGGAGGTGTGTTTTCTACCATTTGTGACACAGTGAACAATATCAAAAGCAGAAAATGCCAATTCTTTCAACGTTAAAATCGTTGCACAGCTCCTTTAAGGAGAGGCAAGTCTCAATATACATGTTGGAAAACGGAAATTTTTGGTCCAATATTTACGGTACAATACAAATGTTTTTTATTTGTGGACAAAAAATGAAATTGTACTTCTGTGGGAGGACGATTATTGCGTTTGTACCCTCCTAGTCTGCGCTCAGAGTTTGCCGGGCCTCGGAGTGCACACTACTTGGGTACAAACGTTGCCATCATCATCCCACATAAATACAGTTTCGGTCTCGCCTGCAAATAAGAAAGTTTGTATTTAATATAAATATTTAAAAAAAAGTATTATATATATATATATATATATATTTTTTTTTTGACTGACATTTATTTCGAGACATGCCCCTCCGAACTAGGTACAGGGGTGGAACGGCTGCGCCATTTGCGCCATTTTGCGCCAGACGCATGTGTCTGCACCATCCTGCGCCATGTTGCAGAAACTGCGCCACAGCCAATACCTCGCGCCATTATACGCCAAATCGCAAGACGTGCGCCAAAAAACTTTTTATTTCGTCTTAGTTTCGGTTTCTATCGACTCAATTGGCAACAATGAGGGCGTTTAGCCTGATCGGCCTTGCAATCCTTTGTTGTGTTTATTCCCCCTGTCTATCCCGAGTCGGAAGCGCGCGAAAAAAAACTCGGATTCTAAGCGCTACACCACCTGCGACTGGATTGTTATTCTTCAACCATAAGCGGTAGGGCAAGTCGGCCGAGGTGAGGTCGAGTCGTTAAGCGTCAGATTGCATGAGGCTCTGCGGCCCGGGATCCGGACGTCATCCAGTCGAAAGCAAATGAGCAAAAGATTCCTTTTAGTACTTCATCCTTAGGAGTTGGAACCGCATTCTCGCAAGATAAATCGTGATTCGATAGAACTGAAACGCGGTCCGATCCGAAACCTCTCCGGCCAGCAGCTCTTACCTTGCCGGCCAGCAGCTCTACTTATCTGCTCGGCGTACTTTAACCTTGCTCCTGCTTATCGCTTCAAATACGATAACTTCGTTAATCGTAGCCTGCTGCTTCGATATCGAGTTGCGCAATAGGATAAACTCGAAATTTGTTGCCCTGCTCCTCCGTGCAACTGCATGTCCGTTGTTTACGCTCGTTACATGGTTCGCACATGTAATTACTATGTCAATCACGTGCGGGTTGTGCGATAAGTAGTGCTGGTTTGCATTTTGAGCAGCCGAAAGCCACTAAGAAAATATTAAGGACGCTATCTTCAGAAACATCAGGTACTAGCTTTTTGATTCACATTAAGGCTCACAAAGTTTCAAGTTTTCGCATCTATTACACTGTTATATCCGATCTACCTGGGTCCCTAACCACCAATGTTCATCTCTGCTCCTAAGCACAATTGAAATTGCTCCCGTGCTTGTCTAAGACACAAGCTGAAGTGCAATGCAAACTGATCTGAGCTGCTCCTAGCCTGCTCCAGAATGTAGTTTTAGCTGCTCCCAACCTGCTCTAAAACAGCTGTTTCAGCTGCTCCCGTGGCTGCTCCCAAGTACATTTCATGAGTTCCACCCCTGTAGGTAGAAAATGAAAAATTTTGTTTTCTCGGGTTCAGTGTACTTTTAAGGATGATGATTTTCCTATTAAAAATCAAATCAAAGGTCATGACGCACCACTCTGTGTGCCCTGGAGCAGGCACCGGGGTGAGGCATCGGACGGCGTTTTAACAAAACAGTTCCGGTATTATGCCTCCTACACAGAAAGATTTGAGGTTTCTGTCATAATATAATGCACAACGTGCCTAAAAGTGCAATAATAGTAACGTTCAGGATCTCCACGCAATGAACTATTTTCATTCGTCTACATTTATGGAGGGGGGTGTTGAGGATGCCCATGTATTTTTATTGTTGCGAGTTTATTAGGTAGTTTTTCCATCCTAGAACTGGTACTTTTTGTTGACTGAAGCCCAACAAAGGATATGTTATCAAAAACAAGTTTTTACAAAAAACACTTGAGTGCCCCTGGTGGGGTGAGAGTCTGAAAGTGTAAATAATGAAGTGGGTTCTCAAATTTTTGTACCTGAAGTGAGGCTGATTAGGTTTAATATAATTGTTATCAATAAATGGTAATATGCATAAAACAATAGAAGCAAACTAAAATTTGTATTTGACTTTTTTATTTTTTGTGTTATTTTTGTTTATACTGTTTTACACGAAACTACTCATTGCAGTGTTATCAAAATGAGTAGCCTGAGAGCTCTTGTGTTCCAACATGCCTGGTACAAAAAGAGAGCTTTCAAAGAAGAATGGATAAGACAAAATTCTTTTACATTCGACAAAATAAAATTACCTTCTACCATTTAGTATTTATTAAAACAATTGGAAAAAAGATAAACAATCGACTCTGGTTTCGTTCCAGCTCTAGGGATAAACGCAAAATTGCAAAACATTTGGTAGAAAGGACTACACCATTCATAAACAAGGTTCCATATGCAAAAGAGCAAACCAAAAAAAAAAAAAAAAAAATATTTATTTAATTTTTTTGTGTAATTACAATGTACTGTTGATAACAAATTAAATTTCGTGAGCCTTACTTTAGTTGTGGAATTTTCGGAACCCATAAGCTCTCGCTCCGCCTTAATTGATCAGAAATTCATTTAAATAGGGTACAAGTCAAAAGTATGATTCATTTTACAGGGCATTTTTTTTAGTCGGTTAAAAATATTTGAGAAGAGGCGATTGACAAAAACAGTAGCTGCCTGCTCAAAGCACATCATTTTCATCGCAGGTGAGTTTTTGTGGTGGATTGTACCTCGCAAAATAAAGGAGCCAACGCAGACGACACGAGCTGTCTTGAGGGTCTTAGTCGTTTGCCAATAGATGCCTTGTGCCGTTTACAGTAATTAAAAACTGATCTGCCCCTTGGCAGTCCCCAACATACCGCTAGATGGGGGAACGCGCGAGGCCCAATGCCTGTGCTCGGTTCTGCGTGCAGACGAAGGGGAGACCGCCCCAACCTACGAGTTCGGCATCACGAGCCTGGCGGACAAGCACGACCTGCTACAGAAGGGGGACGTGGTCCAGTTCCAGGTGGCCGTCACCGGGGCCGGCGTAGAGCGAGCCGTCAACATCTCGGCCGTGCGCGCTCGCGTCCAGGTCAGACTCTTCCCGCTAGGCTTCTTAACAACCTCTCCGCGCACGTTTACGAGCAACTGCACTAATACAACCGATCTGGCCACTGAGTGTGGGCCCTTAGTAAAGCTCAACATCACGGTGCCGCGTTGGCCGTGTTCCAAGATTTCCTCGATCTTGCTCTGGGGTAAAGGTTTTAAACCTTGGCGTTCGAAAACCTACCCGCATCCAACGTTTTTCAATCTGTGTTGTCACGTGACACGACTTGCCAGAGTAACTCGGATCCGAAATTACTCGTAATCGATTACCTTTTTGGAGTGATTTTGTGGTCGTTTGATTGCATTCATGAGGTAGTAATCGTAAGAGTAATCCAACTACTTACAAATATAATAAAATTACTTTTAACCGTCGCTAATTTCCCTTTTCCTTCTCAATGGTGCCCTTTGCTTTCACAACCTTCCTTCCAAGGAATTCTCGAACCAAATTTTCGACAAGGGGACTGTCTAGATAAAGTGGTGGATGTAGAAGAGTTTGTAATCCGGCGATTCTAATCCGACACTGGGCAGTAACGAGAGGCCCGTTTTCAAACCGGCAGAAAGACGTGCTGTTTCGAAAATCTGGAGTAATCGGAAAAGTAACGGTTAGTATTCCAAGTTACGTTCAATCACTTTTCCTCCCGAGTAATTTACTAATCGAATACTTTTTAACCAGGAGCAATAATTAATCTAATCGATTACTTTTATTTTTTTAGTAATGTGTACAAGACTGTTTTTATGAAATGTCTCAGCCGTACAATTTTTCTTTGGGACCCCTTAACTTTTTTCCTTCTCATATTAGTGGCAGAATGCTTTCTAGGTGTTTGGCTTTCGCACACGCTCCCTGGAGGTAGAGGAATCCCACCTCCATCACCTCTTTTCCGCAATGCACCATAAACCATCTAGTTTTCGCAAGGACCCTTTTCTTCCAAATTTTGCAACCTAATAACATTGGGAAAAATTGAACATTGAAATTTTGGTATTGAAAAAATTGAACACAAAATTGAACGTAACGAACGCGTGGCACACCGCTCCCAACTGTGACAATTTGTGCCTGCGAAATATTTCTCTAAACCCACGTTTTGCAATATTTGCAAAGCATCGACCTGTGAAAATAAAGTTGTTTGACAGTAAGTTGAAAATACGACAACATGGACAAAATGAAAAAAAAAAAATAATAAGCCCCAAAAAAACAAAATTTAAAGAATACTAAAGTATTCTGCCGGTTTAACTGCTATTTTAGTAAATCCAAACCATTCATTGATGTGTAGCTGTGGGTCCAACACTCCCCATTATGCCGCGTCGTTGTTTACAATACCTGGGAGCTTCTGCACTGTTCCACTGCTTTTAAGAGGCCGTGGGAGGAATTCACTTGCCACCGTTCGAGGCAGCAGAGGATTGAAAAGTTTGTTAGCCCCTGCTTGAAACTTGTCCTAGCATAAAAAGAGCTAAATATACTTCTAGTTGAGTGTCTCCGGGGTGCCTTTCAACGGAATTGTCGGGGGGATTCGGACATTGTACGCAGTGCGGTAGGTGTGCCGGCATAAATTTCTGTTTGGAAACTGAAGTCTCGGCGGAACCCGAAATGCCTACATCGGGACGAAATTCCCTCCTTGTGCTCGCACTAGTACATTTCCCGGGGGGTTTACGGTGGGCCCACAATAATTCAAACTCGGATATTTAAAAAAATTTCTGGTTAATTCAGACAACTTCGAAAGTTTTGGTTGTCCCACTATGTTTTCAATGTATATTTTTAGCCGCTTAATTTGAGCGGCGTTTTCGTGTAAGTCATCTTTCTGTTCTCGCGGCTCCGTTGAGTGCGCTTCTTACAGAGCATTGGCGCACCGCGGAGAAGCAACACCGTCGTCACAGCTCACTTTCGTGGGTGTTGCTTCTCCACAATGCGCCGGTGCTCGGTAAGAAGCACGTTTAACAGGGCAAATAGTCCATTTTTTTTGCTGGATGAACAAACTTAATTTTGTTTGTCCAAAACACTTCATGGTGTTTCATACATCTGCCAGTGTTTTATGTGTGGCATACCTGCTTATGATTAGTACGCCTGTGTAGAGGAAATCACCAAATATCTGCTTCATATGTGTAGCCTTTTATATAACAAATCGCAGTATTATCTCGTATCAAGAATACACCGAGAAGGCAGTAGGGTGTGGTGCTCGACCACTGCTTCTTCGGCCGTTGGATATACACACACTTTCCACCCGAAAATTGACCTTCGGACCTTGATCTCCGAAGGTTTTCAGAAAACTTGTGTGGAATAGTCGGGGAAAGCACGCAAAAGTGGGGGAGTTTGAAAACGTCGTCCCGGTGGACACGCCAATCTCGCGGACTGCCGTGGCCGGCAGGCTGAGCGGCCGACGCTCACAGCTTCTTTGCCCTCCAGGCCACCGTGGAGGCCATCAAGGGCCAGTTTGGGTTCCTGTCGCACGAGGCCGAGGAGGGCAAGAAGCTGTTCTTCCACATGTCCGAGGTGAAGGGTGGCAACTCAGCCCACCTCCAGGTCGGGGACCGTGTGGAGTTTGTGGTGGTGCACCACCAGCGCACCAAGAAGTATGCCGCCTGCAGCGTCGTCAAAGTGGGGTGAGTAGTCGCGGGTTGGATTCTTAACGCACGGCATGTTTCTAAGGCTAGGAATGAAGCCTGGCGCCTCACGAAACGGCGCAACAAAAGGGATTGTGAAATTTTGGTGGTCACTGACTTGCCCCAAAAATTGGTCCAGCACATCAACCCTTTGCATGTGTCGGGCCAAGCCCGACATCGGAGAAACGCACTTCCGGTCAGGAGTCGGGCGACGCCCGACACGCGTTCCAGAGTCCTTTTAAACATGCTCCTTCGCTCTTTGTGCTGGATTGGTGGCGCCATCTCTCGAAGAACACTTCAATCACATCACTCTAGAAAGGGTTCGAGTTTCTTCTCATGGAGGGCAAGACTACTCATAAAAAAAAAAGACATGTTCTATGTCGTATGTTTTTTCGCGCACTGGAGAAGAGCGCAAATTTCAATTCCGCTGGCACGGCGGTTATAGCCACGCTCGTTCTATGTAACTCTCTGTGATTTAATTGAAAGTGACGGCGATTTCAGTGAAGAGGGCGACTATATCCCTCCTTCAGATGATGGAGGGGCGACCTCTGACGTGAGTGAAAGTAGCGATGAATATGAAACGACTGCGCAAGACAGCGGCCGCAGGGCCGCTTCACCACAAACATTGTTCCGGAGTTTGTAGACAAAGAATCTCCTGGACTTTCCTGTCCTTACGTTCAGTGTGAGACGTTACCTTTGTTCGTCGAAATAATTTTACTTTTCCGGGGCCCATGCGTCCAGAATAGTTCCTGACCGGAACGACCATTAAGTTGGTCAGAGTATTTGACGGCGAAGGGTTAAAGGGGGCCTCCCAACAATTATCAGACTTTTGGCGAATTAAGGGGGGTCGCGGCACATAGTCACGAAAAATTGTGAAAAAGGTAATTTTTTAAAAGCCTGATATTTGGGTGCCACATACTGTAAAACCCTTTATGTTCGCGAGCCCTTAATTTTCGCGAATTTCGCGAATTGAAGAATTCGCGAAATTTAAGGGCGCGCGAAAACTTCGGTCCTTAAGATTTTCAATGGAGGCGTCTGGAATTCGCGAAATTTAGTGGTCGCGATTATGTCACCTCTGACCGATTCGCGAAAAGTAGGGGCCGCGGAAATAAAGGGTTTTACAGTACATCTGAGCACCTTATTGCAAAATCTCGCTTCATAATATAATCCCAGAATATAAAATATGCAATCATTTCTGCGCAAGAAATGCACCAAGAAACTGCCCGAAAGAGAAAATGGGCGTCGAAGCTGGTGCCCTTTGCATTCCAGCATTGCGTGGCCGATAGCCGCCATGTTGGTCTCGTTGGAAAGCTGTTTTCTTTGTTTACGTTTTGTCACCATCTAAAATGTCGTCGGCCTAGGAAAGCAGATATCGCAGTTTTCCCCGGCGAAGATACCGCGCTCCTGATTGGTTACCGAGCGCGGGCCATGGAGAGAACCACTGGTGGCCAGAGCAAGTACCTCCTCTCCAAAACTTTGTGGCCTAATCTCCCTCCTTCGCTACCGCGCACGGCGTATGCAGCTGTCGTCTGCTACCATGGCCACATTGTTTCGTATTGACTTCAGTCAACAAGCACGTTTTTCGGCGTTCGCCTGCTTGGTTTAGCTTTGCGTCTTTCCGAGGCCATCGCGATTGTTTGCAATGCCTAGCGACCCTTGTTTGAAGGGGTTTATGCAGCGTGCATACAAAAAACAGAAGCGACGCGCGTGGGACAAGAGCTCACCCGCATCGCCAGTCAGGTTGCCCACGGCGGACTCCCAGGAAGGTTTGCTTCCAGTGGCTGCATCGTTTTTCCCAGCTCCTGAACCGAACACTGACATGGACAGCACCATCGGTGGTAGTACGCTACGAGTCGACAGGCATTTTTATTTGCCGGACGAATGCATGGAACGCGCGGCGTGGGTGGACAAGTGCAAGCAGGAGTTGGCGGCAAAGTCCGGGACAGAACGAAAGTTTGAGCTTCTGAATGTCACCCGCAGAAATGAAGAGGTCGATTCCGTTACTCAGTTTATCATTGTTGACCTAAAGGTGCTGAACACATTTTTCGCGTCCACGAAATGTGGCTAGTGCGGATCGGTTGCTCCGACGCTGGAGAAATCCAAGGGACAACAGTATGGCCTGGCTGCGAAGTTGGAGTTGTCGTGTCCCCCGTGCGATTTCATTGAGTTGTCGTGTCCCGCGTGCAATTTCATTTCTTGCCTCAAGAAGAGGCAAGAATTGCGCCCTTTGAAGTGAACACGAGAGCCGTGAAAGGGCATCCAGTTTATCGGCAAGGGGTCAGCTGCCCTCACTGACTTCTGTGCAGCCTTGAACATTTCACATAGAGTCCTCCATCACAAGACCTTTCAACGCCATCCGCCAACTGTGATGAAAGCCTGTGAGCTGACAGCAGTTGCCTGTGAAGCAGTGTGTGTGGCAGTTGTGAGGGAGCTCTATGCGGACTTCCTCAACCCGGCCAACAACATTGACGTGATGTATGACGGCACCTGGAAGAAGCGGGGTTACACATCCCATATCGGTGTTGGCTGCATTGTGGAGGACTACACTGGACTTGTGATTGATCAATTCGAGACTCGTGGAGCCGAAAATTGGAGCTGCGTTCATTATGTGAGGGGAAAAAAATGTCCAAATGGGGGGTGCGTTTATTATGCGAGTAAATACGGTGTCACCGTACGTGTGTGCTTAGCAAAAGAACTTGGAGGTGAAAATTTAATATAAATTACTGTAGATCATAAATTGCAGAAATATTTTCCAGACCAGGGTCTTCCCTTAAAGGGGTACTCCACCGTTTTTTTCATTGTCTCCGATTTGCTTTAAATTTTGCTAAACTAACCAACAAACATTGCTAAAATAGTATCCCAAATATTAGGTCAAAATATTGTTTTTTTGCGAAGTTATTGAATTTACAGTTTTGGTCTTCACCATGTTTTTCAAACTGAAAGTCTCTACTGGCAACAACAACAAAGTGACGGCAGTGGAAGGCAGGGGTTAACTTTTTGGACTACAGAACTTGTTCCCAACGGATTTGAAGCAGTTTCTTGGTGTCAAATGAGTGCTTTGGAAGCTAGCTCCAGTATCCGCGCTCCAGCACGGAACAAATGATTGGCATATTCTATTTTTAGACTACTTGCTCGACTGGCAAGCCTGCCTGCCACTGACGTCGCGGCACTGAAAAGTGCGCGAATATTTGAATATTGGTTTTTGCACCATTTTCATTTGCCGATTTCACAATACCTATTATGAATTTCACGATGCTAAATAGCATACCGGAAAGGCTAAAGGCCGGGGAGTCAGAAAATATAGTTAGTTGAGATAGCTCGAAAAATCGGTGGAGTACCCCTATAACCCTGGTGGCACTCAGTGTGTCGAACGACGTTTTAGCAAACGCCAACTTTTCATCAAAACACACTTTAGCGAATGGTCGGCTGCCGCTAAGCGGCATTTACGGGTGGCCAACGTAAATTAACATTTTCGCAATGAGCTGCCGCAGACTGCCGCCGCGAAGTGGGGTAAACACAGCGTGGAGGGTGGGTTAACACGTGCCCCAGTTTATTTGCTAAAGCATTGAGTCGCTCAAATGACTGCTGTTCACTAAAACATAATTCGCTCATGTGATACGGACCCCCTTAAATTTTCGATAATTGAGCTTTTTCTATACTCCGTTTTACCTTCAGTCCGAGCGCAGCGGACGCTAGCAGCCATCCCAGCCAATCCAGTGTGGAGAGAGTGTCATGCGACCTTGAGCTCCCTGCGTCGCTCTGCCCAACCAGCAGGTCACGCGATTTTCTCCCGGCACTGGATCGACTGGGATAGCTCGTGGCGTCCACTGCGCTCGGACTGAAGGTGGAACGGAGTATGGTGCAATAGTAAAAAGAAGGGTTCAATGCTCAGGTTTTTTTCTTAATTGTTCCGCCGCATTGCGGCAGTTTCGGATTGCACACCAAACTTTACAGAGCTTGTCTGTCAGATGGTAAGCTCCTGTCCACTGAATTTAATTCTGAGAAGTGTCAAAAGAGAATCGAAATGGCCAAGCGCCGGCACTTCAATTGCCACGCAGCGTTACATCACTTCTCAGCCGTGATGTCTTGTTTTCATGTGACACCACGATTTTTTCTGTCTTCTAAACAAATTTATGCACCACATTCCATTCATTAAAGGACTTTGGAGGTGAAGGTGGCTGCCAATTTTATAAGATGTTTTTTTTTATGTTCCCATACCTGGTATGGCCCAAATGTGTGAGCCACAGTATCCTTTAATAAGATAAATATCCAAGGACGTGTAGTTCTTTGACGTCTAACTCGCATTTCATCGCGTTAACAACGAGCCCATATTCCCGCAACCGAGGAAAGAGCTGTCGTAGCTGTATTGCACGTTTTTCAGATCATTGTGAGCAATTGCAAATGCTCTAGTTAAGTCCGAAAGTCGAGAAATCCTCGTACCTGACCCGAGCTTGCTCCGTGACGCGTCTCTTTCCCAGGGAGTCGCAGCCAAGCCAACGTCCCGAGCGTCTCGTGAGCCGGCTGCGGACGCTGTCAACCGAAGACTCCGGTCCGCGCATCATCGTCGTCCGGCAACCCCGGGGCCCCGACGGCACCAACGGCTTTGCGAGCCGCAACGGGGCAGCAGCCAATCCGGCCGAAGCCAACCCCAACATGCTCGAGGAGGGGGAGGAAGAAGAAGAGGATGAGGGGGAGAAGGGCTGTGGGGAAGGGGAGGAAGAGGGCGAGGGTGTGATGGAAGCCCAGGAAGCTGCATCGAACTGCCCGGCGGCTGCTGCCGCGGTCGAAACGGAGGCTTAGAAAAAAAAAAACGAAGTTTCTCCCGGTTTTTTTTTTTCTTTCCTTGATAAAACGAAACGAATGGGAATAAGGGAAGGGGTTAAAAGCAACTGGTTCAACGTTGGGAAGTGCGGCGGGCGTTTCTTTTCTCGCCCGTGCGTGCCAGCCGTGCCGCGTTTACCTCGTGTAAATTTTTTTTTTTTTTTTTTTGTCCTAAATGAAAAGGATGTAGGAGAAGGGTGATGATGATGGTGGTGAAGAAGAAGAGTGAGAAAGCTATAAAGTGATAAAAATGCAAAAAAAAAGATTTGACAGGCCCGCTGGTTTTTTCGTTCTCTTTGTTTCGAGGATTTGTCACGTGTTCAATGATGTGTTCTTGTTCTTGTTTTTTTATCAGCGTTTTCAACTGACAGGAATTAAGAGTGGTTGTTAACGCCACACAAATATTTTTTTTCACCGGTTTTGTTGGCATCAAAAAGAGAAGCAAGAAATTGGCAAGAAATCTTGTCGATCGCAGTTAATCTGGGCTTCATCTGATTTTTTTCGGCTGCTTCGGTTTAGCCTCGTTGGGAGAACCGGGGACCGCATAGGCCAAGCCGTTTACGAGCGGACTTAAAGAATACTCTGTGATTAGAGGACAGGAAGTACTGAGTAACAGTATTAATTTTTCTGCACAGATGTCGATGCTTTAAAAAGAAAAAGAAAATTGATGTTATTCGTTTGTCTTGCATCAGCTCTCCAAACCAAAATGGCAGCCTACTGATATCTGCCTGCATTAACGGGGGAGGTTTCAAAGTCTGGGAAACCGTCGCACTTGTTTCCCGCACCTTGGATCAAAAATGTCTTTTCTCAGCTTTACACAAATGACGGCTGCCTTTTTGCAGCCTGCGTCTAACTTTTTCAGTCTCCCATAGTTCCATAGAGTTTTGTGGACTAGCGGCTCTTTCGGAAAACGGGGGTTTGATTTCGAGGTGGCCATTAGAGGAACTGCGAAAAGACCTGCGCACATTTCGGGGGCTTTCGTAACCTAAATGGGGCCACTAATGTGAGAGGTTCATTTGACACGGTTTGAAAAGGGGTTAGATGGAGTAGTTTTATAAACAATAAAATGTGGAGGAAAAGAACTTAATTGGAGTTCACTAAAATTCTGCATTTTTTTTATTTGGATCTTGGTGGAATTTGTTCATACATGGTCTTAACAGTTTCGTAAGGGAAATCTTTTTTTTGTGTGTGTGTGTGCTTGTTACGTTGTGTTAGATGGCATGCTACAAATTTGTGGACATTTCTTCCCAATGGTGGGGTATTGTTTTTTTTTTTTAGCCTTAGAATGAATAACAGTACTAGTTGTTAAGTATCCTAATGCCCTAGAGTTTTCTGTGTGATTTGTTCGAGGAAAGAGAAAAAAAAAAGTCTGCCTTTGAGATTAACTATTGCCGCCTATGTTCCATGGACAGAGTTAAATTTGCCCCTTTTGGGACCTGCACGCCACTTGGGTCGTTTTGATTACGGGACGGTGTGCGTGATAGGACATAAATGGCACTAGTTGGTTCAAAACGTCGTGCAGGCCATAGAACTTGTCACATTTTTCGTTTTGTCGATTGCGGGCAAGATAATCTTCCTGGTGCGACACAATCAAATCGCCCAATGGATGCGTGTTGCCAGTATGACCACTCTTCTGTTTGTCGGCATGCATGTGTGTGTACGTGTGAATGTGTAATGCAGATACAAAAATATACAAAAAAATGCTTGTATGTATTGCCCTTCTGTGGAGGTTTTGCATGTTATCGCCTTTAATTAACCCAGACAATTCTTTGTTCCTTTTATATATTTTTTTTTGTCTCGCAAGAGAGAAGTACAGTGAGTGGGTCGCTTAAGTGTGTAGCAGACGGCACTTGTATGAGGTTATATTGTCTACATTTCTTGGAAGCTGCTCAAGTCTTCTGGTACGATGATGCAGCAATTTCTTTTTTGTCCTGTTTTTGTTTTTTTCTAAAGTTCGCTGTGTTTTTTTGTTTTTTTTTGGATGTCGAGGTAATACACTTGAGACCCTGCCGCAATCTAGAAGTTGTAAGGGATGTGATGCGCAAATTCCATCACGTGGAGTATGGCAGATGCGCTGCGTTCGTTCCCCAACTTTGAAATGTGTCTTGTACGATTTTTTTGAGTACTGCGCAACGAGCGAAGCATTTGCTGCTGTCGCGGAAGTGATGGAACGCTGCCAGAGCACTACTACTCTAGGGTTCTGGCTCGTTTTCAAGAGTGATCGAGCGGACCTGACCGCGGAGGCGCTTGAAAATAAAGGTGAAACTGAATTACGGTGACAAAGCTCCGATGTCTCGTATCAAAAACCTACTCGCTGGATCGCCATTGGCGGGATCATTTTTGGTACTTCGAGATTGTATTTCATAAGTTGATGTTTACCAAGGAGGTTTTTTTCGTTTTTTTTTTAATTACCTGGCATGTTGGTCAAAAGCACAAAGCGGATGCTGCAGATTCCAGTTGGGATCGTGCAAGGATGGACCTCTTTGTAACGGAAGAAAATTAAAAAAGTTTCTAGCCATGCAACGAAAACCTTGCTGCTGTGAGTTCCATTTCGTCGTGGTCAGCGTTTTTGTGCTTGCGTCGTCGGGGTGCCTACAAACCTGGGATTGCCGGGGAATTTCGAGGGATCTGAAAATAAAGTTGGTTCACAAAGTGTGTGGTGGCGTGGATGGCCTCCACATTGAGTGACAGTTCTCCAAGGCGTCATTAGGCAGCACATAGAGCGGTGCAAACCAAGCCACAAAAGTGTTGTGCAAGAATGTCTGGGAAACTGAAGTAACTTCAACAGTGATGTTCCCAACCTCGTTGGATGTTCCTTCGCTTCTGGAACCCGGACAGAGAGTTGAGATTATTGAACTTTTCATGGCATATCCGACTGGTAGTTTTTGTGCTCTCCAATCCTCTGAATCGTATCTACGAGATCCAGGAATGCCTCCGAATCCGAGCTACAGGAACGGCACGCCAGCCGAATGCTCGGCAACTTCTCCGAGCGGCCCGAGCTCCAATGAATGGATGGATGGATGGATGGATGCAAACGGCTGTGCCCTTAATATCGGGCAGTAGCCTATGCCATCTAGCCTGAAAACTAAATACCAAAAGTATGACTCCTCCCTTTACCCATCTAAGCAAATTCGCTTCCCCTCTGCACTTTTGTAACTATCACCAGGCGGTGTGGGATATCGCCATTATGACCTTTGGGGACATCAGGCAAAAAAAAGTGGCAGCCACTTACAATTCCCTGTAACGCCGAATTAGAGCGCAGCTCTTGAGGAGGAGGAGGGAAGGGCACTGGGGGGGGGGTAAATTAACCGGGGGGGGGGGGTCACGTGACCCCCAATGCCGATGATGTCATCACTGACGTCACTGATGACGTCATCAATGACGATGCGGGTACCGATGACGTCATTAGTGACGTCACTGATGACTTCACCAGTGATGACGATGCAAATGTTGGTGACGTCATCAGTGACGTCGCTGATGACGTCCTCAGTGATGATGACTATGACGATGCGGATGCCGGTGACGACATCAGTGACGTCACTGATGACGTCATCAGTGATGATGACGATGCGGATGTCGGTAACGTCATCAGTGATGATGACGATGGCGATGCGGATTCCGGTGACGTCATCAGTGATGATGACGATGTGGGTGCCGGTGACGTCATCAGTGATGATGACGATGTGGATGCCGGTGACGTCAGTGATGATGACGTCATCAGTGACGATGTGGATGCCGGTGACGTCATCAGTGACGATGACGTCATCGGGGGTCACGCGACATCGGCGGGGGTCACGTGACCTAAGGGGAGTCACGTGACTTCGGGGGGTCACGTGCCCCCAAAAGGTCACGTGACCCCGGTGGGGGGCTCGCGCGGTGCATTCTGGGACATTTCCCATGATGCACCGCGCGGTCACGTGACCTCGGGGGGGTCACGTGCCCCCCCCACGAGGTCACGTGACCCCGGTGGGGGGCACGCGCGGTGCATTATGGGACATTTCCCATGATGCACCGCGCGGTTACGCCGACGGCGACGCCGCTCAAGCCGGAAACGGGCCCCTAAGAGCTGCGCTCTAAAACTAAAAACATCGCTCCTCGCCTCTTCCCCCTGGCAAGGGAGTTGCTAATTTTCCTCCGGTCAAACCTAGTCGGCGTTAATCCAGCACCAGGCCCACTGGGAGACAGGGTTGAGACTTTGGGCCGGAGCCATGCAGGAGGGGGAGGCAGTCGCTACTTTCCTCTGTCCTGCCTGTACCCAGCTATGTTAGATGCCCTATATAATTTCCACCCGTCTTCTAGTCTCTTCGTTATTAAAATGCACTTATCATACTCGCCAAATGTCGGACTTGAATAATCGAAGCGAGGACGGACTTGCGACAGCTATTTTGCCTTGCACCTGACGTCATCCCGTCAGATCTCCCGCGACGACAAGAGAAGAAAGAGGACTCTTCTCACCGGGATTCTCCTTTGCGTGTCTCAGACTTCCCCAGAATTTGCTATCCTCCCTCTAGAAGATAACCCGTCACTTAAAATTGGTACAAAAGCAGCTTTCCCCTCTCCGACTGTGGGACAAAATGGATCATGTGATGTGACGTGGCTTCCAGCTATTCTAATGCCGGTAGAGATACAGCATTCACCATTCATTTGTTTTCAAAGCACCCACAGGCATAGGCGTAGACTTCGGGGGAGGGGGGGGGGGGGGGGGGGGGGAGGCATCGGGGCTCGTGTTTCCCCGGGCCCGGGCCTTGATCCTTACCGAGACGCTGTTTACGTGCCATGTAACGAGCATGGCATGTAAACAAAATAACGGCCACGTTGCCTTTATTGACAAAATACATGGGAAATGGAATCCTGTAATGACACAAAGTACGACCCCAGCCAAAATATTACGTCCGTGAGACGCAAAATATTACGTCCGCAGGGCTGTCCGTGACGGACCGGCAGCGTGCGGCGCGAGAAAGGTTGCCGAGTTTTCGCCCTAAGAACCGGAGTTATTGGGTGAGCGTTGCAAGCCTTGACCTCTCTACCTACTCCACTAACTCGGAAGACGTCCTTTTCTGGATTTTCCCCCCCGTGGCCCATTTTTTGAGCCGAGAAGAGGACGAAGCGCTAGGCCTAATGGCTTGGCCTAACACGGCCATGCCGTTGCCGAACGGCATGGGAGATTCGAGAGGCGACGAGCATGCTCGCATGCACGACGAGAACATCCGTAGATACTTGGAAGATCTTGCACACAAGAGCAAGGGAATGATGACTGAGGAGGAAATTCTTGGACTACGCGAAATGAATGGCAAACCGCCAGCGGCAAGCGACGGAACCCTAAGCTAGCGAGGGAGGTCACCGCGGCGGTAAGGAACGAGAACAAGACTCACACGGTTGTAATTAGGATGCGAAACCTTGACGCGAAGAGTGTCGCAGGCTCTCGGCTCTCTCATCAAGGCTGCTGGAGTGCATGTCACTACGGCGCACCTCGAAGATAGCTTCCGGATCAATAGCAGAAGCAATACGGTATTCATACTTACGGACAACTCGGAAAGAGCATGCAAGTATGTGGGAATTAAAGACTTCACCATCCACGGCAAGAAAGTCGAGCTGTACGGGCACGGAACTACCCCCGGCAGATTTCGCCGCATCGTCGTCCCGAGATTTCTTGACCCTACAGGGGACGTTAACGAAGCCGAAATGCTGGAGCACCTCATCAGGTCTAACCCACATACGACCATCATAGATGCGAAACGTATGGGAAGGTCCCCCTCCGTCTTGATCACGCTAGGAACACAAGAGTCTCCCGGCTATATCAAGTTTCTCTGTGGGCTTTTCCCTTTCCACGATTATCTGGAAACCAAACAAGCATGCACAAGCTGTTAGAAACTAGGGCATAGATCGGACGCCTGTCCGACCCCCAATACTGGTATGTGTCCGAACTGCGGCGAGATTCACAGCCACCCCGCCAGGGTCAAAGGGGTACGTACAGAATACGACTACTATTTAGCGAAAAATTTGCCGCTAAATTTAGCGGGGAAATTTAATTGGTGTTGAGGTCACGTGACATCAATTTCCCCGCTAAATTTAGCGGAAAAATTTTCGCAAAATTTAGTGTGATGTCACATGTAACGTGCACCCCGCGCTGCCTCATCTGTAATGAACAACATTACACGGGAAGCAGAGACTGCAAGCAAAGGTATAAAGCTATTCATAAACCTAAGACCCCTATGGAAAAGCCAACCCCCAAGGAAGATTTTGTGGCACTAACCCCGCAAGCAGACAAAACTAAGGCCATCCCGTACGAAAGTGTCGGATACAGGCCGGAATGAAAAATGCCGGTTCCGCCTGGACCCAAAATTGGGGCACCAGTTTGTATCCAGCCTAGAAATGCACAGTTCCAGACGGGATAGAAACTGGTGCCCCAATTTTAGACTCCGGCCGGTGCGCCTCGCCCAAAATTCCCGCTGCATTTACCACTACACTCTGCATAAGTATTTCGCGCGATGCCCTTAGCCGTTACAACCGTGAGATCGTCGTGATTTCAGATTCAGGCGGACTGGGTCTGAAATCGCGACGATCTCTCGCTTGTAACGGCTAAGGGCAGCGCGCGAAATACTTTTGTAGTCGAGTGGTGAGCGCAGCGGTAATCCCGGCGGCGCACACGGTCGTCCAGGCGTCGTCACCAAACACATGTGCACGGAACACACACACAGCACGCACAAGCACAGTATCCCATGTTGAGTGCACCGGGAAGTTTCGGCGGGCAAGCGGTATCAGAGTTACCCAAGTATTGCACCAAGCACACCAGCGCCAAGCGCATCCAGATGCCGAGCCAAAGTGCAATGGGTCGGCAGCTTCACACTATAGACGCTTTGCAGCAGCTGTGCATGGGCGCCGCCATAACTGACCTTCAGTTTTTGTTTCCTCTTATTGAATTTTCTTCACTTCATCATTACCATAGCAGGCCAGGTTATGGCCATCTTAAATTCTATTGCGTCCTTCTACCCAGCATTCGCCTTTCTGGAAACTCGTCAACACCCGTTTCAGTGGCTCGGTATCTCCATAAGATAAAAGAAGGTCAGTAATGGCGGCTGTAAGCTGGCGCGTGTGTAAAGTCCAAAACCGAGCATGGCCTCCGATATCCCGAAGCGCGCGAACGCTTCTCCGGCCGTCCCATTCGTGCGAAGAGGGCGTAATCGAAAAAAGAGAAGGAGGCGGCGTGTCTCCGCGGGGAGGCGCTCCCAACCCAGTCATCCTAGAGTTCCTGTATAGCTACCTACGGTAGCAGAGTTGCGCATTCAGCCTCGGCGCGTGGCCGTAGCGCCGGCTTTCCCGCACGAGGTGGATGCTTTGCTCCTCACGTGACTAAATTTGGCGAATAGCGGCGCGGCGCGTGCCGCCGCGCATGGAAAACAGGAGAGGAGGAAAAGGAGGCGGAAAGCAGAGAAACATACGGCCGGGGGAAGAGAAACGTCGGCGGAGCGACCGTAAAGGTGGCTTTCTTGCATGCCAACGGATGCTTTGCTCCTCACGTGATGGATCTC